GACCTGTATTTTATGAAATGGTTGCGAACGCCTGCAATACAAACAATGATATGATAGGATTTAATGAAGATGTTATGAGGTCATTGGTGGATGATGGTAGTGTGGAACATAAATGGGATAGCTATGACAACACACATTTCTTATGTGGTTTTCCAACAGAAGTGGACTTTTGCTTCCAGCAAGGTCAAACATCTACTGCTCCAATAACATACAAATTGTCTGTTAAAGGACCTATTGAACTAGCAACTGAAAACGTACCAAAGCCACTTATTGGATTTATGAGGGATTGTTGCTTTGCAATACAAGTGCGTGCTAATGGAATCCCCATAATAAGATTAGATGACTATAACTTAGCTACGGACGACAGTGAGGAATAAAGGATGAACGTTTATTTTTAAAGCTTGTAAATGAGTTCTTCATCAAGCTCTCGTGAACCTTCACCATCTGTGAAACAAACTTTACCAAACGATTATGGAGCACCTATTGAATATTTCTTACGAGCTGCACAATGGCAAAGAGCAGTCTCGCCAAGGTTAGGTGTTCCACCAGCTCCTGTCAAAAATAGCATTTGGTCAAGTCCTTATATACGATATGGTCTCCCACTAGGTTTGCTAGCTACAGCAGGAGCAGTAATGATGTTGAAAAGAAACAAAGCAAATGTTATAAATAATACTGAAGTAGCTGAAGTTAAACAAACTCCGACACCTTCGCCAAAACCAACGTCAAAACCAACGCCTTCACAAACAACACCTTCAATGACTCCTGAACCTATGGAATTACAAACTCCTGTTCAAAAGTCAACTCCAAAACCGACTCCAACATTTAAACCAGAACCTACACCACAAATAAATCGTAAAACTCCTGCGTTTCCTTACTGAAAAATAACGTTATTTTTATTTAATATTAAAATTTTTATTTGATTGAAATGACGACTAAAGTCACTGAAGCAATGAAACAAAAGTTTTTGGTAGAATACATTAAATCAGGAACTATTCCAGAAGGTTTTTACATTCATACTATGAAAGATGGTAGAGTTCAGTTTAGAAAGATAAAGCAACCATTAGATAAAGAAGGAATTTTGAGAAAGATTAAACTTCATGAGGACAACATTGCTGAACTTAAGAAGAAGTTAGAAGAGTTGGATAAAGGAAGAGAATTATAAAGTAATGAATTCAAGTGGGTGAAAAACCGGGTGAAAAAAGAGGTGAGATCTCACCACTTCACCTAAATTTATTTTTGTGCTATGTTTTCATACGTGTGGGAGTGGTGATATCATTAATTTTTAAGTTTATTTTTAAGTTTATTTTTTATTTTATTTTTTATTTTATTTTTATATAAATGACGAAAACTATTGAGATAACAAACTACAACGGTCATGAGTTCAAGAACTTGTTCTTCGTTCCTCGTGAAAATACATTCTATCAGATACGAGGGAGAAAGGGTAAAGTTAGTTTAAGCATTTATGACTACAAGCATAATGGAAAGTTTATACAAGCATATGATACAAACGGTAAGCGTGTTTCATTAGCTTTGTCAAAACTAACAGGTATAAACTATGACAGTGATTTTGATCTATATGAAGAAGAAAGTGAGTCAGAAGATTATGAGCTGTTATGTGAAGCACAGCAATGGGAGGAGTTGCAATACTTTTGTAAGTGAGAACGTTTATTTTTTACATTAGTGAGTTCGTTAGTGAAGTGGTTGGTGAATTCGTTAGTGAAGTCGTTAGTGTTGTAAAATATACGTTAACGGTTTTGTAAAGTGTCAAATTCACATATAATGGGTAAGGTGGAACGCAGTGCCTCCGTACCCTTGATATGTATACTAACTTTTTATTATAGATAAAATATGCTTCCAATAGAAAAAGAAAATTCTAGAGTTGCTACAACTAAACCATTAGATGAAATTTTTACTAATGTCGGTCAAAAGTTTGAGACAGATACCGTAAAGCATGAAGGCTATCGTTTTGACTACCCATTAAGATGGTTAAGAGACCCATCTGTCACAAAAGCTATTGGCTTTCGAAGAATAAAGTTTGTGTCTGTAGAAGATAAAAGTTTTCCATTTATTGTAAGGTTTCATATAGATTATACATCTGAAGGGCAACGAAAAATGTGGGAAGAAATTGAGCTAATACAAGTTGACCTCTCATCTTCTCTACAGGCTGCATTAAAAAATATAGAAGATAAAATAAATTCATGTTATGCAAAATATGCTGATGAATATGCGAATACCGATAGCACACTTTATGTGAGAATTGTATATGACAAACAAAATTCACAAGTGTCATTTCAAATCTACGAAGACAATCCAAATAAAGACGAACAAATATATACAGAATTCACTGCAATGTCATGGTATTATTTGCAAAGAATGTTAAATCAGAAAGTTGAACCTCCTTTAGCAAATATCTACAGTCGATATGCAAGAGATGAACCATATTTATTTAAAGATGTTTTCGACCCAGATGCTATTATTGTTCATGCTTCATTTTCTGGCGCCCAAAACTCTTTCTTATGCTTGGCAAATGACTTTTACGAAAAACCTACAAAGTTATACGAACCACCAAGTGGAAGTATTTCAGACTTTCAAGTATGGTTTACTACAGATGGAAGAAAAAGAATAATTCCATTATACCGTGCGTTTTACTTAGAACTTAGTTTCATATACAACTACTATCGAACGATAAAAATATAACTTTTTAATATACCGGTTGTGGTTGCCAACTAGACTGTGGTGCAGGTTCAGGCTGTTGTATAACAGGAGCTTGTTCTTCTGGTTCAGGGTCTTTAGGTATAATACCAACAAACTGACCTACTCTTTTACCAATATTTTTGACACCGTTCCATACTCCTCTTCCGACAGATTTTATTCCATTCCATATACCTCTTCCAACATTTCGAAAGAAGTTTCCTATCTTACTGAAGAAACCCATTTTACTATATGTAAAAATCTAATGTCCGCCTAGTCTCTTACGTTTCCTGTTGAGTTCCATAGCATTCTTTAACTGGAGCTCATACATTCTGTTTCTCCTCTGGTAGAAAACATATTCTGGGTCAACTCCTGTGTTCGCGTCATCTGCATAAAGTTGTTTATATCCCACTTCAGGGTTTGTATAAAACTCTTTCCATCTCATATTTGCATACCATGGTGGCAAACCTAACGCAGCGTCATTTGACATGGCAGTTTGCATTTGTACATCTGTTGGCACTTGACCATAGTTTGCCATTGCAGTTTGTATTCTAACTTCATTTGGAATATTCTCTGGGTTTGGTTGTCCAGGTTGCTGTGCATTCGCTAAGTTCTGTGCGTCCATTTAATATTAGATAAAAATATCTCTTACGAGTACATATGCTGAACATTTGCAGGCATTGGTCCATCTTCATATTCTCTGTACTTTTCTGCCACGTCAAATAAATAAATGACACAATGGAAAAAACCTAAAACAAGTAGTCCTATTTCAAACCACATTTACTTACTAATAAAATTTCTTTATTGTGACACTTTCTCCAGTTTATAGGACCTCTCTCATATTCTATCTTGTCATATATAAACTCATAGTCGTGTATGTCCTCTAACCATCTCATAACGGTTTTCAAACCACTTTTATCGGATGTAAAGTAAAAGCATGGATGGTTATGTATAACGTCTAAAGTTTCTAAAGAGTCTCTCAAAGTCCAGTCTACTTGGTATTGAAAATCCCATGTGTTATAGAACGGCGGGTCCACTATAAAGAAAACATTTTCCTTGTCTTTATATTTTTCATACAACTCTGTCCAATGACATCTCACAAACTCTATACCCTCAATATATTTATCTATGTCCTCTTTGAAAACATTTGTATAGTTGAGATATAAAACTTTTGACATAAGTGTTTCAATGTCATGAACTCTTATAGCACCACTATATAATAGTCTAGCAGATATACTATCCCAGTCTATATATTCTGCTTTTTTCAAAACCTCTCTCACAATATTTTTCTTATCTAATGGTATACGTTCCATCTTACCTATAGGTATCTTTTCTTTTAACTCTTTCAATATATTGTTTGTGTCTGGAATATGTTTGAGACGGTCCATATAGTTGTCGAAGTCATTGCATATAATCTTTGAGTCTGGGAATATTGTATGACATAAATGGGATATATAGAAACTTCCACCGAACAAATCTACAAATGTTAGACCATTCGGTAGTTTCTTAAGTTCTCTCAATATAATATCTTTACATCTACTCTTATTTCCAAAGAACGGTAACGGTGGTTTTGTAAAATTCATTTATATATAATAATAAAAATGTTTTTACCCGAAAAGTGACAGAAAAGTGACAAAACATGAAAACATATATAATTTGTGAAAAGTGACACCATTAATATGATGTAAATAACAACGGTTTTGGTTTTGTCACCGGCTGGTCTGCTGGGGTTCGGTCCTCCTCTTGGGTCTTGGGCAAAATTTCTTATGGGCTAGAGGGCGCAACGCGCCTGGAAGCCCCACTACCTTTTTTTTTGAATCTTCTTCTACATCTAATGGATGACTAATATCAAGACCTCAAAAATTTCCAAAATAATTTTGATTTTCATAATATGATTATAAAAAATATATATTTTAAATTAAAAAATGCAATTTCGAAAAAATTTGGAGATTTTTCGGAATTTTTAAATCATGGTATCATACTAGTTTTAGCTCCTTAAAAAATATTGCCACTTAAATTAAGATTATCTTCAAGTAGACTTATAAAAAAATTATAAACAATGAAAATTTTCCAAGCCATTTGATAATTTATTTTAGATCTACATTAAATGGTCAATCCAGGAACACACCTAAAATCAATTTTTTTCAGGACTTGAAATGAAATCAAATTTTCATATCGGAGTTTATCGTTTTTATAAGGATGTTCGAAATTCATTCTTTGAGCAATTCTACAAAACATTAACCCGAAAAAGTAAAAATTGACGAAGGAAATTGAATAGAGAAGATAGGGCGGTTTTGACACTCTTGATAATGTCACAGCCAATCTATGTCAACGAGGTTTTCTCGTTCTCATCACAGAACATGGACCCGAAGTTCGCCGTCCCAGCCAACGCAGCCATTTCCAAGGATAAGTACCTCTGCGTTCGTGAGGAAAACGGTGCTGACTCCAGTGTCGCCATTATCGACCTCCAGCAGGGCAATCAAGTCACAAGACATAAAATGAGTGCTGACGCAGCCGTCATGCACCCATCTCGCATGGTTATTGCTCTTCGTGGAAACAATGCTCTTCAAGTTTTCGATCTTAACACACGCCAACGCCTGAAATCATTCAGTGTCCCAGACGGCACACAAGTTACATACTGGAAGTTCATTGATGATGATATTCTTATGTTTGTTGCAGGAAACGCAGTTTTCCATTGGAGCATGAGCTCAAACACCAACCCAGTCCCAGCATTCCAGCTTCTTCCACAACTCCAGTCCGCACAGATCATGGGCTACTCCATTTCCCAGGACAAGAACTGGTTCTGCCTCTCCGGTCTCGTTCAGGAGAACAATGCTATCGTTGGAAAGCTCCAGCTCTACTCTCGTGAGCGCAATGTCTCACAGGCTATCGATGCTTACAACGGCGTCTTCGCAAACGTCGGAAATCTCCAACTTCTCGCTTTCGCCTCAAAGGCCGGCCAGATGAGACTCAACATCTTCCCACTTGGTGCTTCCTCAGAAGCCCAGGCTTTCGGCAAGAAGTTCGCTGATCTCCAGGCTCCTCCGGATGCTCAGGACGATATCCCACTCCATATCCTCTTCTCACCGAAGTACAACTCCGTCTTCATGATCACACGTGGAGGCCTTCTTTACATGATGGAAATCGAGAGCGCTTCTGTCTACCTTTCAGTCCGTATCTCACAATCCCCACAGATCCTTGCATCCCTTACAGCCAACGGTGGCATCCTCTCTCTCGGCAGAGATGGTCGCCTCGTCAACATCGCCATCAACAACGATTCAATCGTTGACTACATTTCTCAGCGCTCATCTCCACAAGTCGCTGCCAAGGTTGCTGCCAACGCCGGCATCCACATGTCCAACGATTTCATCACACAGCAGTTCGATCAGCTCCTTCTCCAGGGCAATTTCCAGGAAGCTGCTCGTGTTGCTGCTACAACACCAGGCGATGCTCTCCGTGGTGCTGCCACAATCTCCAAGTTACAGAGATTACCAACACAGCCAGAAGGCCATCCACCGCTTCTCCAGTACTTGTCCGCTCTTATTACACAGACAAAGCTCACAGAAGTCGAATCTGTTGAGTTCTGCCGCATTGTCATCAACATGGGCAAGGCCAACCTCATCCAGAACTGGATCAAGAACGACAGCCTCACACCATCAGAGAACTTAGGTGATGTTTGCAAGCAAGCTGATCCAATCACAGCCGCCGCCATCTACATCCGCGCTGGTGCACACGCAAAGGTCTGCGCCACATTCGCTGAGATGGGCTCATTCGACAAGATCGCACAGTACTGCCAGCAGTACAACTACACATGCGACTGGCTCCAGATCATCACACTCATCGCCCGCTCCAACCCAGAAGGACTTGCCCAGCTCCTCAATTTCGTTGCTAATAACGGCCAACCACTTGTCAACGCCATGCAAGTTGTCACAATCCTTCAGCAGTTCTCTCTCTTCACACAGGCTGCTTCATTCCTTGTATCCGTTCTTGTCCAGAACCGTGAGGAAGATTCCGATCTCCAGACACTTCTCTTCGAGATCACATTGACCAACATCCCACGTGTTGCTGAAGAACTCTTCGCCAAGGAATGCTACACATTCTACGACCGCCAGAAGGTTGCCAACCTCTGCGAACGTGCAGGCAACTTCCAGCGCGCTCTCGAGCACTACACAGACCTTCCATCCATCAAGCGCTGCATCGTCAACACACAGTCAATCAACCCAGACTTCTTAGTCCAGTACTTCGCAACAATGGATCCAAAGTGGGTCATGGAGTGCCTCCAGGAACTTCTCACAAACAACCAGCAACAGAACGTCCAACTCGTCGTCAAGGTCGCTGGCACATACTACGACAAGCTCGGCATCGACACACTCCTTGCATTGTTCAACAAGACAAAGGCTACACAGGCTATCTACTACTTCTTAGCTCTTGTCGTTACAACATGCACAGATCCAGATATCCACTTCCGCTACATCGAGGCTGCAACAAAGCTTCAGGACTACAGCGAAGTTGAGAGAATGTGCCGTGAGTCAGAATACCTCCAGCCAGAGCGTGTTCGTGACTTCCTCATGCAGGCTGATCTCCCAGACCGCGTCCCACTCATCGTTCTCTGCAACAGATTCGGATTCGCAGAAGACCTCACAAAGTACCTCTACAAGAAGAATGCTTCCCGCGAACTCGAAATCTACATCCAGAAGTTCAACCCAGCCATGGCCGGCCGTGTCATCGGTGCCCTCATCGATATCGAAGCTCCACAGGAGTACATCGTCAAGTTGATCAACTCCGTCCAGCACACAGCACCAATGGAGGAGCTCATCAAGGAGACAATGAAGCGCGAGAGACTGCGCCTTCTCCAACAGATCCTCGAACAGCGCCAGGCTTCTGGTTCTGTCGATCCAGCCACAAACAACGGTATCGTTCTCCTCGCCTACAACATGGGCCGCAACCCAGAACGCGCCCTCCGCGAGAACCAGTACTACGATCCAAAGTTTGTCGGTGAGATCCTTGCCAAGCGCGATGCCCACCTCGCATGCATTGCCTACGCCAAGGGCCAGTGCGATGACGAACTCATCGAGCTCACAAACACACACCAGCTCTACAAGGAACAGGCCAGATACCTCGTCAACAGACAGGATGAGAACCTCTGGGCACGTGTTCTCAACCCAGAGAACCCACACATGAAGTTGGTTGTCGATGCTGTCATTTCCACAGCTCTTCCAGAGTGCGAAGACCCAGACAAGGTCTCAATGACAGTCAAGGCATTCATCACCGCCGACATCCCAGCACAGCTCCTCGGCCTTCTCGAGAAAGTCGTCATGGAGTCTCCACAGTTCAAGGAGAACGTTTCCCTCCAGAACTTGCTCATCCTCACAGCTGCTCAGTCAGACACAACACGCGTCATGAACTACGTCCAGCGCCTCAACCACTACACATGGGAAAAGATTGCTGAGAAGCTCATCGACTTCCAGCTCTACGATGAAACAATCGCTGTCTACAAGAAGTACGAACAGCCAGTCCTCGCCGTCAAGGTCATGCTCGACAACAAGGGCGATCTCCAAGGCGCTGCTGACTGGGCCGCCCACTGCGACGATCCAAACGTTTGGGGCGAAGTCGCTCGTGCTCAGCTCGCTGCCGGCGAAGTTGTCAACTCCATCGAGTCCTTCATCAAGTCAAAGGACACAAAGGAGTACTACGCCGTCATCGAGGCCGCTGAGAAGGCTGAAGAGTACAAGGCTCTTGTTCCATACCTTCAGCTCGCTCGCTCCAACCAGATCGGTGATCCAATCATCGAGACAGAGCTTCTCTTCGCTTACGCCAAGGTTGACATGCTCGGCGAGTTAGAGGAACTCGTTTCTTCTCCAAACTCCGCCCGCACAAAGGAAATCGCCGACCGCTGCTTCGATCAACAGCTCTTCAAGGCCGCAAAGATCTTGTACACAGCAGTCAAGGACTACGCCCGCCTCGCAGAGACACTCATCGAACTCAAGGAACTCCAGGCCGCCATCGACGCTGCACGCAAGGCATCATCCACAAAGTCATGGATGGCTGTACTCCGCGCTTGCATCGAAATCGGAGACTTCAAGCTCGCCCAGGTCGCTGGCTTACAGATCGTCATCGAAGCCGATCACCTTCTTGAGGTCATCAAGTTGTACGAAGACGGTGGCTACTTCACACAGGTCATTGGCTTACTTGAAGCAGCTCTCGGCTTAGAGCGCGCACACGGCGGCATCTTCACAGAGCTTGCCGTTCTCTACGCCAAGCACCAGCCAGAGAAGTGCATGGACCACCTCAAGCAGTTCAACCAGCGCATCGCCCTTTTCAAGGTCATCAAGATCCTCCAGGCCATGCACATGTGGAAGGAACTCACATACGCCTACGACAAGTATTCCGAGTTCGACAACGCCGTCACAACAATCATCGAGCACCCATCTGCTGCATGGACACACAACTACTTCAAGGAACTCGTCGCTCAGGTCTCCAACGCAGATATCCTCTACAGATCACTCAACTTCTACCTCACAATCTCTCCAATGGATATCCCAGACTTGTTGCAGACAATCGGTCCAAAGATCGACTCAACAAGACTTGTCGACATGTTCAAGCGCTCCAACAACCTCCAGCTCATCAAGTCATACCTCGCTTCCATCCAGTCCACAAACGTCCAGGCTGTCAACGAGGCCCTCAACAGAATGTACATCGAGGACGGCGACTACGACTCACTCAGACGCTCAATCGATGCATTCACACTCTTCGAACAGATCACATTGGCACGCGAGTTAGAGCACCACGAATGCTTGGAATTCCGCAGAATCTCATCCTACATCTTCAGAAAGAACCAGAGATGGAACGAGTCTATCTCCATCTCCAAGAAGGACGAGTTCTACAGAGATGCAATCGAGACAGCTGCTCAGTCCAAGGACACAAAGATCGCCGAAGATCTCATCAAGTTCTTCCTCGAGAAGAAGCTCCTCGAATGCTTCGCCGCTGCCACATACGTCTGCTACGACCTCCTCTCATCTGATGTCATCCTTGAACTCGCATGGAGACACAACTGCACAGACTTCGCAATGCCATTCCTCATACAGTCAATGAGAGACCAGAACGCTGCCATCGCCAAGCTCCAGGCTGATGTCCAGGCTCTCTCTGGCACAGTTGAGGAGACAAAGACAGTCGCTGCTGCAGCTGCTAACGCTTCTGTTGCTCCACCAGCATTCGACGGCGGATTCCCAGACCAAGGCGCTTCCTTCGCTGCCTCTGCTGATCCATTCGCTGCTGCCGGTGCTCCAGCTTCATTCGCTGCTCCACAGTTCCCAGATCAGTCAGGATTCGCTGCTTCCCAGGGCGGATTCCAGCCACAGTTCCAGGGTGGTTTCTAAGAAAATAATTTTCTAAAAAAATTATTCGTATTTTTCAAAAATTTTTATTTTGTCACAAAAATTACACTTCACTTTCCATAAATTCAATTTTTTTAAAGTTTTTATTTATTGATTCTATTTTTCAGTTTCTCTTCTGAATGGATCCGAAAATTGACAGGAAAATTTTACATTTTTTATAATGACTCAAATACCCGAATATAAAATCGTTACAATTGGTGATCATGGTGTTGGTCAGACATGTTTGATTATGCGCTACTACTATGGAGAGTTCCAAGAGAATCCTAAACCAACAGTTGGTGCTGCATACGTAAAAGTAAAGGCAGAAGCTAACAATCACCAAGTTCAATTGAATCTTTGGGATACAGCAGGCCAGGAAAAGTATTCAAATCTCATTCCAATCTATGTTCAAAATTGCCATGCAGTAATTATTTGCTACGATTTAACAGAAAAAGACCAATTACAAAAAGTTCAAGCATTTATTAATACAGCTCATGAATCATGCCCACCAGAAGTACCTATTGTAGTTGTTGGTACTAAATCTGATAAATTTGAGGGTCAAAATCCTGGAGCAGAAGTTGGATCTTGGTGCATGAACAATAACATTGAGCATTTTATTACTTCCGCTGCAACCGGATTTGGAATTGATGACTTATTTGTTAGCGTCGCAACAAACGCTGATAAATCTGCTAAAATTGTCAATCAGAAGAATACAGTTCTTCAGAAGAAACGTGATGCTGAAGAACAACAAAGCGGAGGTTGCTGCTAAATTTTATTTTATTATTTATTAAATATTAATCTTTTTATTATTACTTTTGGCACAAATACTAATATTGGCGATTTGTTTCTTTTCCATTATACTTGAATCCTTTGTAATTTTCATCTTCACAATTATTAGTTGATTTAGAGCTTGTTGTTTAAGGTTTTAAGATATTTCCTGCTATAACTCATTAATGCAAATGAATTTTGAAATCAAACAAAATTAATATTATTAATCCGATTATAAATATGATTATATCGTCTAATTTCTTATATTAATGATTTGATCATGCTATAATTTCGATTTAAATCGTTATACGGGATTTGTATTTATAAAATATTTTAAATTCTTTTAAATCTACTACAAATAGTCATAATTAACTAACATTGTGAAAACACTAGTTTGTAGTTAATATAATACATAGTAAAAACGTTTATAAAACAATAATAAAAGATGATTAATGTGGAGATCTTGGAGAAAACGAGTTTTCAAACAAGGTATTCGATTTCTTGATAGATCTCTCAGTTCTTGCGCTGTTACAGCTATTAAATATTTCGTTATCTAAATTGTCGAGCTTCCTCTTCATTTTTCCCATATTTTGCTTAATTTCCCACAGAGATTTTTCAGTTTCTTCGAATTCCTCTTCGTAGTCATCGTAATCAGATGATTCAGAGTGGAATTTGTAGTACCTGTTGAAGGAAACTTTCGCTTTCGAAGGAACTCCTGAATCATAGAAAACTCCTTCGACGTGATTACGTCCTTCAGGTGTAGAAACAAGGAGGTCATGACGAGGAGAGTCAGTGAACTTCGGATAGTACTTGTAGTCCATTGGAAGAGATTTTCTTTGTATCGGAAGTGAACGAATTGAATCATCTTCACTGAAAATAGGATGTTTGACCACAGAATAATGTCCCGAATTATCACTGACGGTTGTCCTTCGCATTGGAACTAATGGTCTCATTGGAGTATCGCTTTGATCAACAAATATGGGTGTTTTTGATGATTTTGCTGGTATCTTCATCGATTTGACCCTTCCTGATGATTTTGAAGAGGATTTTTCGCTTGATGAAGTTTTATCTTTTGAAGGCTTATTCATACGTCTTCTGGGAGATAAATTCTTGCTCAAACTTGACTTGGATGAGTCAGATTTTGGTGAACTTTCCTTAATTTGTGAACTAGATTTTGGAGAAAAGGAATCTTGGCCGAATTTCGGAGATTTTTCGGTTGGAGAACGTGGAGACTTCTTTTCTTCGTTATTGGATCTATCAATTGGAGAAATTTTGATGTTCAATTGATCGGAAATTTGTATTTCTTGGAGTTGCTTGAGATAGAAGTCTTTGTCATGAGGTGATGTCTTGTTTTGCTCCTTCTGCGGTGGAATTTCCTCAGGACTGTCGAGAGCAGAGTTTTCCAGTTTAATTGGAGTTGGACGCTGCCTGTTTAAGCTTCTATTTGATGAAGACTGACTCTTGTTATCTGGTGGAGACTGTTCTTGCTCATCATCTGAAGAAATAGCAAATTTTTTCTCATTTCGATCTGGAGAAATTTTTCTTTGGATCGGAACTGATGAAGAGTTGCTTATTGGCGAATATTTCTCCTTTACAGTATGTGGAGGGGTGTAAGGTTCTGCCAAATCTTTAATTGAAGCACTATCATTTGATGAAGAACTTGTTTTCTGATATTTGACAGCAATTTTCTTCTTTTCACGTTCTGGAGAAGCTTTTATTGTTTCTCCAGGAAGAATTATGCATATTGGACGAGATTTTGCATCTTCATCGCAAGATTCTTCGTATTCGTACTCATATTCATACTCGTATGGATTGTTTTCAGTATCACCACCTTCAACATCGAAAAGAGTCATAATTTGCAGAGATATACTTACACATAAAGCAGGTCTGAAATGGAAGTCGTAATCAAGCAATTTCATGATCACAGGAGGAAGCTCAATCAGATCGTAATCATGAACAAGCGGCCATTTGAACTCCGCCGGTGCTTCACCGAGTAATTTTTGAGTAAGTTCTTGTTGCTCAGTATCTGTACTAGATTCGAACAAAGGATGACCAAGTACTACGTACTCGGCAAGAATTGTCCCTAATGACCAAGTGTCAGATTGAACAACAGGAGGGTACATTTTCCATTCCGGAGCTCTGTAGAAGCGCATTTCATCGACTTTCCTGCCCTCATCGCCTTTGATATGCGGAGGTGGCGGCAAAAGCGATTTTGGAGATGAATAGGGACAAATCGGAGGAGGACGAAGCCAAAGCTTTCCATCTATAATAATTGTGAATGGAGATAGGCACAGATATGGGAATTTCGATGAATGAAGCGCAGATAATGTGTTTAACACATTTGGAATTTGTTTTTTCAGAAAATCGCTATCATTATTTTCGCTTGCGAAGTAATCAGCAAGAGTGACCATAGGTAATGGCTCAACTACATAAAAATATGTCAGTTTCGTTCCAATATTTTCTGGAGTGATTTGATTTCGAGAAGCTAGACTTGTTTGAAAGAATACGCTTTCGCATCTGAATAATTTGTAGTTGTTCATTAAGAAGAGTATGCGAGAAATTAACAAATCCTTAGGACAATTTAACATTGCAAGATTATATTTCGTCAGCAAGTATTGTCGTCCATTGACTTTTGATTTGGTAATGAAAGAATCATATGAATTGCATCGCGGATGGAAGAAATGTTGTAAAACTTCATATTCACCCACTCTGCTTCTCATAAAATTTTTTTATACCTTCAAGAAAAATCTGTAAAAAATTGTGAATATTTTTGCCGTTTATATTTTTATGGCCAATTCAAAATAATGACTTTATATCGTAATGAATTAGATGATGTAATACCAAACAGATTCAGAATCTGGATGATCGCTTGGTTATTTGTGGTTCAATTTATTTTATTTTTTCCCTGAATGTTTTCTCAAGTAAAGAGTATCGATATTTACGGATAACATTGAAGCAGAACATGTCAAAACAAAGGAGTTTTATGGCCATTTTTGGATATTTTAAGGGTGCACCCGTATGTACGTTTATTTGAGAGGAGGAGGATTACCCTCTCAATTTTGAGGGATTCGTTAGTTTATTTTCTCGATGAATATGCAATAAAATTTGATTTTTACCTTATCAATATACTTCATATAATATACACATGTTCATGTAAAAACTTTTTTCCAAAATCCTCAGGAATTAATGGATTTTTGAATTTTAAGAATTTTTTTCGAATTTTTTCGAAAAAAAAATATTTTCAGAACAGCCTTAACGGCTAAGATTTAGGAACAATGTTAAGTATCAAAAAGAAAGGAGGTCTGATATAGACAACATATATCGTTGAAGGTTGAAAAAATCTCTAATATTTGAGCCCAAAATTTCAAATTTTAATTTTTTGAAAAAAGAGGCCACCCGTATGTACGTTTATTTGAGAGGAGGAGGATTATATTTTTGAAAGGGTGAAACATTATGAATATGTTAATTATATAATAATATGTATTATTATAAAAAAGAAAAAATAAAGCACGTTAAAATTTTTCTTTCTTGATTTTTTACAAAATCTACTTAGAATTATGCAAAATATGACTAAATAATTATAAATTTCAAGTTAAATTTTAATTTTGATAAATAATTTAAATTTCAAAATGTCAAGTTCAGTTCGACTATGTATGTAGTAATTCCTCAATAAAGTGCCAAAACCCTATTAAAATATATGAACATTTTCAACATTTTAATGTTTTTATTTAAAAATTTGTTGGAATATGAGCTTCAAACAATTATTATGTAAATAAAAATAATTAAAGATATGTATTTATTCGTATTACAACCGTAGTAAGTCGATTCTTCCTTTCTTCTACTGAGATTTGAATTTGATTTCGAATTGTAAAGAGATTCAAAGGGAAAATACTAGCGGATAAAAACTACCTCCATGAAAGGGTCATAATGGAGTCAAGTTGTATTTTTTGATATTTTTTGCTTTTCGAGCCTAAATAGGTAGCCAAGATAATGCCTAAAAATAAGGTTCTAAATTCTGAAGTTTACATGATCCTCTCGTGTGCACCCTTAAGGCGCCAATGAACCAGCAATTAAAATTGCCAACTTATCTCCAAAATCAGGCAAAATCTTCGTACAATCATCATACTTATTGAAAATTATAACGATTGAAGTTATCGATGACAACATCCGATCGTAATGCCAATCAAATTCTTTTCAAATACGATCTCATGATCCAATTTTATTAAAATATCAACTTTAATTCATCTAGTTCTATGTATGATGTTCGAAAGTAATTAATCCTATGATGTGGAAAAAGTGACAAACATCAAACTAAAATGGATACAATCTATAGTTCATTAAATACTAGAATTGACAGCCTCCAAAGACTTTACACTGAATTACTCCTGACATTTAGTTCCAATGATATAGACAGCGAGTTTAAAATTCATTCTGAAGAGTATTTTACCAAATATGAAGAAATAGTACGAGAAACAATGGGTCTCATAAACAAATTAAGTTCAAAAAGCATGAATTATATCACAGATAACCAATACCTTGAACTGAAAACGAAAATAATCAGATTACAACAAAAGTCAATTAAAAGTCTTGAAATAAGAAGAAATACAATAAAACTATCAAAAACATCCAAAATTCTATGGAAATTATCAGCAAAATCAGAAAATGCAATTCGAATCGCAGAGATGCCCGAAGTATTGTATTGTATCGCAAATTCATCACTAACAAAGTATCCTCATTCATTACAGACATCAATAATCGGTATTTTATACAATATTTCCCTAACAAATGCAGGATTAAATAAAATCACGAAATATCAAAAGATGTTCAAGCGGTTAAGCAAAATAGAAGACACAAATCCTGATGCGAAGACACTGATTAAGAAATTAAATAGATATAAAAACGATTTTTGATATTTTTATTTCTTGTTGTAAGATAAGATTTATCCAATAACATCTGATATAAAACTACCTAAAAAGCATAGTTTTTCATTCTTAACATATTTAACAACAATAAAAATAATAATATTTTTATTTTCATCTTCGATTTAGACAAGTGAGAGCCAACAAATTTTGCATTGCAATTGTAAGCATATGCTCATCCGAAATGGAAATTTTGTCAGAGATATTTTTTTACAAATCCAAATTTGATCTTTAATTTAAGTTATTTTGCATCGAAACAATCATACACTGACAAAATGAATTATAAATAGATTGAAATTTAAAATTTAAGTTAGTAAATTATTTTATTACCGACACAAACACAATATAAATCAAATAAATAGATATGTTGATATAATGCGATATAGAATATTATTAACAGACTCCGAAACTAATTATTTTGCTCCTTCCTCATTCTTGAACATTTGAGGGGCTTGTGGAGATGGAGGAGCTGGCGGGGTTAATATAGAAGCATCATTTGTACTAGGAGAATCAGTACTTGATGAAGAAGACTGTTGGTTATCGTCAGCTTTCTTTTCATCCGGTTCTAACTTTGATGCTTTCTTCATAAACTTCTGTCTCTCCTGGTAAGAAAGAGATCTGCAGCATGATACACGCGATGCATAGATTGTACGTCCATTTAACCCAACAACAGCACGAACAGCCGAATCGTGCTCATCCATAAGGACATAGCCGATTCTTTTCTCAGGTACGATACGAGCGGAAGTTACTGTTCCGTATTCTTTGAATAACGCGAGGAGTTTAAGGAGTGTATTAATTTCTTCCGGCAGATTTTTAATGAATATATTCTTAAAAGTAGGATCAAGGTTACGCTGCATGGCTTCACTCATCGGTCTATCTTCTCTTTTGAGGTATTTGAGGATAGTTACTTCTTTTCCATTAATTGTTGAATCTGTTAATTCTTTTTGAGCACGCTGTGCATCTTCGACCTTTAAATATTGAACATAAGCAAACCCTCTTGGAACTCCATTAAGAATTGGTACTCTTACAGAAATAACTTCGCCATAATTTGAAAATAGTTCATGAAGTTGAATACTATCGACTGTAGTATCTAATCCTTTCACATACAGATTGGCTTCACCTGATTTGATCGCATTAAGAACTTCAGCTGTTGTTCTTGTAACAATGATACTATCGCCGTTGAGTTTTGTGTAATTAAAATCTTGCACAGCAAGTTGAGCTTCCGACGGGAGTGAAAAATCGACAAATGCAAAACATCGAGTTGGTTTGTGTTTTAATACGACATTAATAACATTTCCTGCTTCTTGGAATAATGATCGAAGGAAGTCAGCTGACACTACAGCTGGTAAATTCGATACGTGAATGCCATTATCTTTAGGCTCATAAACACGCTTAACAAATTGCATTCTTTTGAAATATTCGCAAAAGTGTCACTTTGGGCGGTTTTTATGGCTTGGAGAAGCACGTTTATTAATTCTGAATAGTTATCATTTTAATGTGTAATGGGTACATAAAATTATTTTGGTATTGTCAGATCTTCGCATCTCAGAATAAATTGAGACCAAATTTTATTAAGATTATTTATATAGGGTATGGGCATTACAACAATATTACGATGAAATGTAAGATTATTCACTTTTTTATTTGAATTGAATGCAATCAAACTCATCTTGCTTTAGACTCAGTGAACAAGCGTGCCGCCTTATGCTTAATTTATAACAACATACACAAATTTTTAAATCACTTTACTCATCAAAAATGATCATAATTTGGCCATTATTTATATTTTTTTTTAATTAAAATATATTTAATGATGTACAATTATCATATAGCGAGAAGACAAATATTTATATCATTTTACATCAGTTATCCATGCCTTTTCATAATATTTTTTCAGATTTTAAAATGAAATGTTATTTTTCATTTAAAAAATACGATTTATCTAATTAACAATAATATCCAGAACATGTGAAATCATATTTCAAAGTTAATATCAGTTAACTAATTACATTTTTTGATTTTTTATTCGAATTTCGGAATGAATTAAACTTGAGATCTTTTAACTATTATGCACATTTGCAACTATAGATTATGCATTATTTATACTTATGAATATCCCATCATTTACGATATTTCGGAATTCATATATTTATATATGTGGTGATAAGTAAATACATATATACCAATATCATTTTGATCCTGAGTATATGAGATATTTAATATAGAAAATGCTTATTGATCTAATATAAGGTATGATTATTTTAGATCATTACCGATTCATTGCAAACAAAGAATATACAAATGCCTCAAAGAACAATTAACTTAAAATGAATGAAAAGCTCCAAAAATTTAAAAAAGAATATGATTATGTTCTATCTATAATATTTACATGGATTCGAACATATTGAATGCTATCTGATGCATTTCTAGGATAATTTATTATATACTACAATACATTGCACTTCCAAATCCTATTGATATAATTTTGCAAATAATATTTCTTCACAAACACCTATTCCGTTCATTCAAAATTGCAATATTTTTCATATTGCATCATGAATATTGTGACATAATTCCAATTGTTTCTAAAATTTTATATCTATTGGCATATTTTTTTTTTCAAAATGTCTGATGAGGGAGAAATAATAATAGTAGAAGAAGAAGAAGTATATGAAGTGGTTGAAGAGGAGGAAGAAATATATGACAGCTCCAGCTCAGAATTAGTAGAAATAATCTCAGAAACTTCTCATGTAGATATGAAAGTCGTTCTCTTCAGAAATATACTCACTAGGACTCGCAATGTCACAAACAATATATTGTCTGATTCAAATGATTCAGGAGAAATCATTTTAGTTCTTCCAAGTAATATTTTACCTCTTGCCTTTAGAGAATCCTACTTTTTCACAGACTGTAACATCGCAAATATTAACATTAAGCTTAAAGATTACAGCTGGGACCAACAACCTGAAATTTTAGTTCAAAATTCAAAATATGGATTTCAATTTATTGGATATCGATTGATGATGGAAGTTATAGAAAACTTCTTTAAGCCGAACTTCAAACCACGCGAATTTTACAAGTCTGCCGCTTACGTAATTAAACCTGTTATAGATTACACAAAAACAGAAGCATTCAACAAATTAACTATGGAGAAATATGATAGCTCCGTTGTGCAGTGCACATTAGGCTTCTTTCAAGGCGATTTTGACAAAGCAAGGAACGCAATTAGAATTGGCCAATTTAGTAAGAATGATACAAAGTTCCAGATGCCATTTAAACTAGAAGATTGTCCATTGATTTATTTAATCCTCGAAATGTTGGAAATTTACTTTGATTTCCAAGATCACTGCTGCAGATGCCTGAAACCACTTAATTTCGTTACCATTCGTCCTACAACATGCACAGATTGCGATGCCAAGCCATTCCAGCCTGCAGATTCCAACTTACTTTTCGAAATCCAAAGAGATCCATACGCCGCTGACTTATTGATCAGTGCCTTCGCAAATGGCTGCAATTTCATGGACCCACGACCACCACCACGTATCTTTAACTACCTATTTCCCAATTACAAGTTCGATGAAACGAGATTTAACGCAGTTTTCAGGGATTTGCTTGGTGTTAATGAAATGGCGACAAAAGCATCAGAAGCAGACCTATATGAGTTCCTTGTTCTGCGTAATAATGAACCAAATAAGCAATTTTACGAAGAATACAAACATATTCCATACGAAATCGTAAGATGGATCATTTATTCGAACAAGAACCAACTCATATCCTTACAAGGAAGCCTAAGCGTCTTCAAAGATGTTGGAAGACAGTTTTTCATTTTATCCGCTGATCAAGAAAAGGAAAGATTGTTCAATGAACAGAAGAAAGACAGTATTTCCCTTTACTTATTCCACGGATGCCCATTCGATTGCGTTTTCTCCATTCTTCACAACGGATTAAAAGTTATGAGTGGAACACAAAACGAAAGGAACGGCCAAGTGTACGGTAAAGGCATTTACCTGGCTGCAAAGAGTCAACAGGCACATGCTTATAGCAAGGAAATTAGGAATAAGTTCAGAAGAAGTAATATGAGGAAATTCAACGTTATTTTCCTTTGCGAAGTATTGACATCTGGACTCAGAGAAACCGATACTTGCTACGTAACTGAAAACGAGGCAGGAGTGAAGCTCAGAGTTCTGATAATTGGAAATATGAATGAATATAATACAATGGATATGTCGAAAGAGAGTTCTACAAGAATACACGTTCCTGATTTCAAGGAAATCTTGGAATACCGTGCAACAAACGCTGTTAGAAAAATATTCAAAAATGTAGTTGATGCTGATGTCGATTAGTACCTTTAAAAATATTTATTTTAATTACTAATTTCTCTTTTTTTAATAAATGATTTAGATAAAGGATTTCTTTTTGAGAAGATATTGAATTTAAACTAATTTTCCTTACACAAAGTCTCCTAATGGTACACCTGCCTCAACAATGAGTGAATATCTTTCAAAAAAGTTGATAAAGAGACTTTACGAGTTTATTATCTCATATATTACTAAATTCAGCATGGCATAAGTGTAATCTTAGCGTTTGATATCATTTTTGGACTAAGTTATTGTTGTGTGCATTACTATTTGATCATATGCTATTTTTAATCATTTCGAATTAACAAATCATTTGTTTACAACCTATTAACAATTGCTTGATATCACATCTCTTTGCAAATATTTCATATCACATGGTTCAAAAGATTAATTGATTATATGAAGTAAATTGTTGAGCTTCTGCTTTCACACGGAGTAAATATCAATGAAACAGACAAAAGCAGCAAAACAGATCTTTTGTGTACAGCATGCTGTCATTAAAAATAAAAATAATTGAATATCTTCATTCAAATGGTGCCAAAAATCTAAATTTAATGAAAAAGAATAGAAATTTAATGAATGTTTGAGAAATCCTAATCGATATTTAATGAAAAGAATGTTCATAATTAAAAATAAAAATAATATTTTTTTTTGAAATTAGTTTAAGGTTAACATTCATATTTATTTCTTGCCCATCATCTTAGCGAAGAGGTTATCCTGGACCTTAGCAGCAGCCTTCTCAGCTTCCTTGATCTTTTCACCCATTGCCTGGAAGACCTTGTCATTCTTGGAAGCAGCTAAGCCCTTCTTGAGGGTTTCCTTAGCCTCAGTAAGGTGGTCGAGGTGAATTTCAGCTTCGAGCTTACGAAGAAGAGCCTTGACGTTGTTTTCTTCTGTTTGAAGGACAGATTCAGCATGGTGGAGGGATTCACCCCATTCTGAAAGCTTAGCGTGAGCAAGGGAAAGGTTGTTGTTGAACTTAACCTTGAGTTGGTCAATATCTGAGCCGTATTGCCTAGCAATCTTATGAAGAGCATGGTGGTAAGCATCACGAGCACCAGCGAAGTCACCTTCACGGAACTTCTTGTTAGCTTCATCGCAAAGAGCGTTAGCTTCTGCAATAACTTCTTCCTTTGTCTTCTCAACGACAATTTCAAGGAGCTCGATCTCGAAGACGAGTGTAGCACCTCCTGGAATCTTTGGTGGAGAGCCAGCAGCACCGTAACCAAGATTAGACTTGATAACAAACTTTGAAAGTTCACCAACCTTCATTGTAGCAACACCGAGGGACCAGCCTTCGATGACACCCTGACCGATTGTGAATTCGAATGGCTCATCACGATCTCTGGAGCTATCGAACTTGCTGCCATCGGATTCTAATGTTCCGACGTAATGAACTGAGCACTTATCTCCCTTCTTAGCTTGTTGGCCTGTACCTTCTCTGATGATGTATTTCATCAAATCGCCATTTCCTGTGACATCTATTGGAGCAGCTTCTGTAGACATGACAAATGAACTGACTATTTATCAGCGGCTTTATTTTGTAAACTAAAATGTCCGGCCATTTTTATCCGATATCAAAAATCTTTAAAGTGATTTCGGTCTTAAAACAACCTGGATCAAACAAGACAAAATATGCGTTTGAACATCAATTTCTTTGATTTTTGTAAAATTTCGATTAAATAATATAGAAGTTCAATAAGGTATTTCTACGCAATTTAAATAAACCATACATGGACTTGATATTTATAATATGCAATAAGTGATTTTGGTAACTTTTAGTTCTATTGTGATTTTAGTTTAGTGCTACGATCAATCTTTCAGTATGCAATTATACACTTTATGGAGAAATACTTCTTTTATTAAGCAATACTCATATTTCTATATTAGTGTCTGACATGGAGAGGTCATCTTTATCTTTTCATGAGTTACGCAATACTTTTACAGACTATATCGATACTTTCGACTCAATTTATAAGTTGTGTACAGCTGATGAATGCGAATTAAGCAAAATTTATACTAACATCAAGGAAGTTTTAATAGAAAAGTATAAAATCAGGATTTCCGCAATAACTAATCTTATTGCAGTGGAAGCACATCTACATTGTCGGAATATTGATTCGTTTTTATACATATTAAAATTAATAGCAAAAGATTATCCAATTGACAATTTTTATATTAGTCGATTAGAAGATTTTAAACAAACGATTGAAGATTTTAATCCAATTTTTAAGGCAATTATTAATGATGATTGAGAAGAATTTAGAAGACTAGTTAATGGGGATTGTGACATAAAACTAGAAATGGAAGGATTTCATAATATTAACTCATATAACATTCTATCATTTTCTGCACTATGCGGCTCAGAAAAGTGTTTTAAATTCATTAGATCGGAATTAAAATTTCAAATAAAAGATGAATTAGAATACGCATTGATTGGAGCAAATTCAAATATAATTAAAGAATACATGGCATATGAAACTCCATCGCCATCAACAATGCAATACGCAATTATGTCGCATAACACAGATTTCATCATATATTTAATGAATAATTTTAACTTAAAAATTCGAATGGAAGATGCAAAAAATTACAATAACTTAGAGGCTTTTCTGATCATAATTTGTGAGAATGTAGATATAAACAAAGTCCTATTAGAGTCACCATATTTTTTAATACCTTATCTTTGTGAAATTCTAATCAACAATGGTGCAGACATAGAATATAGAAATAGAACTCAGTTTACTTTACTTAATGCTGTTTCTGCAAATGAATTTGAAGTAGTTAAAAAGCTTATAAGTCTCGGAGCCAATGTGAATCAAACAACATATTTTGGTCTAGGGTTGTACAAACTGGCACAATTTTGCGGGACGCCTGCCAGGAGCTGGCACGCGGCCAAAATCAAAAAAGTGGCCAAAAATCGGGCCTCGTGGCGTGGAAAGGGTGGAGCCCGAAGGGCGACATCCTTTCCACGCCACTCGGCCTATGACCACAATTATATAATATGCTCATTATTTTTTCTTCTTTTTTTCTTTTCTCTTTCTTTCTTCTTTTCCCTTTTCCCTTCCTTTTTTTCTAGTTTTGGAAAGGAAAAAGTAAAAAATTTAATAATTAATTTTATTACTATGAAAATATACTTTTTAGCTTATATTGTAAGCTGTGAGAGTTTTAAGTGATGGAAGATATAAATCAAATTTGAAATTCAACAAATCTTGTTATGATTAAGTTGAATATTGTACTCTAATTAAGAGTTTTCAGTTATGAACTCAGGTATTATATAATAAAAGTATAACTCAAGATAATAAAGAGGTTTTTAAAATGTAGATCTGAAAATCAAACTACCATGTTTGATATGATTAAGTTGAATAATGTTATTTTATTAAATGGTTCAAATCTGTGAAATCGGCAATTACAAATTAAAGGCGTAGTTCAAAAAATTAAAGAGATTTTAAAAATTTAATATCAGAATTAAACTAAAAAAAGGATTTAGTTATTTCAGTAATTATCAGAAAAGGTTAAAAAGATAGGGTAAGTAATGAGACTTGAGTGAGATGTGAGAAATCATATGTAAATAATTAGATATCTGATGAGTAAGGTAGTAATGAGAGTTAAGATCTGATAGTAAGGTAGTAATGAGAGTTAAGATCTGGTTAGTAAGGTAGTAATGAGAGTTAAGATCTGGTTAGTAAGGTAGTAATGAGAGTTAAGATCTGGTTAGTAAGGTAGTAATGAGAGTTAAGATCTGTTGAGTAAGGTAGTAATGAGAGTTAAGATCTGGTTAGTAAGGTAGTAATGAGAGTTAAGATCTGGTTAGTAAGGTAGTAATGAGAGTTAAGATCTGTTAGTAAGGTAGTAATGAGAGTTAAGATCTGGTTAGTAAGGTAGTAATGAGAGTTAAGATCTGGTTAGTAAGGTAGTAATGAGAGTTAAGATCTGGTTAGTAAGGTAGTAATGAGAGTTAAGATCTGGTTAGTAAGGTAGTAATGAGAGTTAAGATCTGGTTAGTAAGGTAGTAATGAGAGTTAAGATCTGTTAGTAAGGTAGTAATGAGAGTTAAGATCTGGTTAGTAAGGTAGTAATGAGAGTTAAGATCTGGTTAGTAAGGTAGTAATGAGAGTTAAGATCTGGTTAGTAAGGTAGTAATGAGAGTTAAGATCTGGTTAGTAAGGTAGTAATGAGAGTTAAGATCTGGTTAGTAAGGTAGTAATGAGAGTTAAGATCTGGTTAGTAATGAGAGTTAAGATCTGGTTAGTAAGGTAGTAATGAGAGTTAAGATCTGGTTAGTAAAGTCGGAGAGTTAAGATCTGGTTAGTAAGGTAGTAATGAGAGATCTGCGGGCAGTAATGATACATCTATGAGTACATAACTAAAACCTGAGTTCTATGAGCGAAATCTGAGAGCTAAAAGCCGAGAGATCTAAGGTAAGTAATAAGAGAAGAGAATTTGAAATTTTACAAAATACGTTTACTCATACAAAATAATTCGCATTCTTTTATAACGAATCTCAATGCCAATTAATACATAAAACAGATTTTAGCAATCAATTGCAAGATTTAGAAAGATTTTATTTATAATCTCAGCCAAATTAACAAATATTTTATTGATTTCGTAAAAAATAGCAATAAAACATAAAAATATGACATTCTATTTTTCCAAAAAAATTTCAAAAATCATTTTTTAACATGAAATTTATATTTTTTAATTTTTTTTTAAATTTTGAATTTTTTTTTGAATTTTCAACCATGTCAAAAGTCGGGATCTACAAATGTATTCTCTTTGACATAGGATAAAAACATCCTTTCTTATAATTTCATTGTAAAATAAAATTTTCTTAAATTTATTGAATCCAAACTCAACTTTGCAACATTTTATTATCATAAAAACTAAGAAACATCAGGTAAACTTCAATTTGGAGAGCTTAAAATCATATCTAAATTGAAAACTAAGGGGAAAAAAATTGTAAAAAAAATCTCATTAGATGGGGCAAAAAGTGACTTTTTTAATGTGTTTTTTAAAAAAATCGTGCCAGCTGACCAAAAAAGGTGTGCCAGCAGGCGTGCCAGTTTGTACAACCCTATTTTGGTCAAAACTCATTAGAATATGCATGTCATTATGGCTACACAGAAATCGTGAAATATCTTATTGATAAAGGAGCCTATATTCATTTTTTGTCACCTGTAAAAGAGAGTTATATGCATGCTGCAGCAAGGGGAAATAAAGTTGAAGTTATTAAATTATTGATGTGTTATGGTTTGGATATTAATGCTACAAATCAATTTGGAGAAACACCTCTTCATTTGGCTATATGGTACAGTAACTCAGAAACTGTTATATTTTTAGTTGAAAATGGAGCAAATATTAATATAGCAACCTCAGATGGACAAACACCACTTCATTATGCAATACAAGTTAAGTCAGAATTATTAGAGTTTCTTTTGAATCATGGATCTGATCCAAATTCTCGAAATTGTCATATCGAAACTCCTCTACATATTGCAGTTAAAGTACAATTTTATGATGGCATCAAAACGCTTGTCTCTCATGGAGCTAATATAAATGAAAAGGATAAAAATGGATATACTCCACTCCATAGTGCTATTTATTTGAACGATCTGAAGTTAATTGAAGAGATTATTGCAAATGGAGCTGGTGTTAATTCAACTGATACAATGATGAATACACTTCTGCATTTCGCAGCAAAAAATCACAGCTATGAAATTGCAAAATATCTCTTGGAACATAATGCAAATGTAAATGCAAAGAATGAAAATTATAAAACACCTCTTCATTATGCTGCCATTAAAAATGATCCAAAAATAATACAGCTTCTTATTGATTCTGGAGCAGAAATAAATATCAAAGATGATAAAGGAAAAACTCCTCTTAACATTGCAATAAATTATAGCATGAAATTAGCTGAGGAAGTTCTCATTCAAAATGGAGTAGAAACAGATGTTTTTGATCATTTGACATATTGAAAAACATATATTTTATAATTAATTCCGTATTAAGCTTTCAATTTTTACAAAAATTGAATGAAATACGTAATAAAGATTAAACAATAATAATTGATTTTTTTATTTCAAAAAAATGATTAATCCTCCTATTCCACAATTTACTAGTATAGATGATGCTATCAGACAAATACAAACAGGAACGAAGCATGTAAGTATTATTCTTCTTGGAACTATTTGGTCTCCGCCATGCAGATACACTTTTTATGCATTACAAGAAGTAATGGAATCTCTTGAAAACAATGATGAGATTCAAGCATTCTATGTTGATCAAGATGCAAGTGTTCAGTTTTGTTATACTGAAGGCATTCCAATTGGATTTCCAACTATAATTGTATTTGCTTTACCAAACGAAGAGCAAATGGAAGAAGAAGATGGAAAGCCATATTTCTTATTCTTTATTCCAGAAGGCCAAGTTTATGATCAAAATAAATCAGATCAATTAAAAAGCAGGCTTATTAGGCAATTGAATCAGAAACAATTAAAGCATATCATAGATGAATCGTTAGAAGTATACAAAGGCAAAAAATATGCTATTTCAAGTCCAATTTAAGATTTAATATGATAAAATTCAATGGTAATCTATATATTAAGATATCAAATATTATATATGTTGTATCTGCGGATCAGGTTCATCTTATAATAACTCATGATGTTCGAAGATCAATACATGACACTGTAACATTGGAACAAAAATTTAGGAATTCAAATTTTTAGTACCCTCAATTTTTGACTTTTGCAATTTTTTCATGACCCCCTGCCCAGGTATCTAAAATACCATTTATCGCCTGAAAAGCACCCTTAATTTATGCCAATTGACAAAATAAAGATATGTTTAGAATGCTGATATGATGGAGAATCATGCTGCATCATTATTGGCCAGCAATATATAATATTTAAGAAATCTACAAGATTATCTGATTTCATGAAACTCAATGTATACTAAGTTTCAGACTTTGAAATTTTAACATGTTGATATGGGTACATAGGGTTTATGATTCCAGTCATTTATTTAAAAAATTACAAAAATGAATTAATATGATGTGAGTAACAATGGTAATAAACGCTTAATTACTAATATAATATTTCTTGGTAGGAATGAAATGTTTTGGTGACATTTATAGAAGTTAAGCTGAGAATCAAAAATGCAAAAATTATTTTAAATATTACAAGCATTATTTGATGTCATTGAGTTTAGAGTCGTGTAGATATATGAGTACAATATGTTATTGATGTATATATGCAATAATTGTGAAAATGAAATGTGAATCTCAAGATGAGTTGCATGTTACTGCGCTATAATTTGAATTCAATACGTACATAACATTACTAAATGTATTTTAAGATAATACAAAAAATTAAGCTTGCAAAAAGATATCGAAATGTAATTTTCATTAGATTCAAAGTTCTGAATAGATTTTGATTTTAACTATTGATGAGTTTGTCAAACCTCTATAATAATAGAATGTAGAACTAATTAAATATAATTAATAAAAAAATACAAATTTAAGTGATATTATAAGAGATATATGTGATGTTACCAATATGATATGATATTGGAGAACTGATAGAATTGTGATGTGAGACTAAATATGATTTTATTATGAATAGGAGAATAATATTAGAAGAATTTCTTGAATTTAATGTATCTGAATATGTAATTGGGCATATATTCTATATATATATTGGTAGGTTAACTAGAAATAAGAAGATGAAAGATTGTTAATGAATAATATGAGATTAAGCGAAAATATATTGTTCTAATAGATGAGTGTTGAGATCCAATATATATGAAGAGGGATATGTGAGAGGAAATATGTATATTTAATAAAATAAGCGATGAGAGAAAAAATAACAAAGATTTATATGAAATTTTGAGTATTGAAAAAGCTCGATTAGTGATTTTATGTCTGTTAAAGGAATAGATATTCTAGGAGAAAGATAAATTGAATTAAAGAAGAATAAAAAAAGTTGATTAAGATTGATAAAAATATTGAATTGTATGACAATGGAAAGAAGGAATAAATTGGTGTTGGTATGACGGTATCATTTCGGGAGACATTGCCTCTGCATGTTCCCAGAATGAGACAATCTTCTCCAATCAGAATGTGATTGCAAAACTTTGACCGACAAGAGTGTATTGTGCACTCCTGTCGGTCGCAGTGTCTCATTCTGGGAGACATTGCCTCTGCATGTCTCCCAGAATGGAACAATGTTCCGCATTGATAACTTGAACGCGGAAGTTTGACCGACAAGAGTGTATTGTGCACTCCTGTCGGTCGCAGTGTCTCATTCTGGGAGACATTGCCTCTGCATGTCTCCCAGAATGGAACAATGTTCCGCATTGATAACTTGAACGCGGAAGTTTGACCGACAAGAGTGTATTGTGCACTCCTGTCGGTCGCAGTGTCTCATTCTGGGAGACATTGCCTCTGCATGTCTCCCAGAATGAACAATGTTCCGCATTCATAACTTGAACGCGGAAGTTTGACCGACAAGAGTGCATTATCCAATCTTTTTTGTCATATACCTCAACCCACAAAGACAAAACCTTACATAAAATAGGTAAACTTTGGTTTTCACTTAATAATGTTATTTTTAATTTTTTGTTCTTTTATATAACTTTTTCTTCTACTAAACTATTTTACAGACTCTACTGAGCTATCCTCACATATACCTGTGACAATAACATATATACTCCCTTCATATTCTGATCTCATGACATATTACAGCACAAACTATAATTATACAACATACCTCATAAAGTCTGATTTTACCCCTATCTAAGCGTTCAAAACCTATTTTCCCCGCGTAATCTGATTCTTCTGGCTCTACTGATTCGATTTCTGCTGTCAGATCGTGAAAATATGCATCACACAATGAGATAAACACAAAATACACAACTTAATATTTTCCTTAAAATTGTCAATTCCTCGATCTTGACATATTTATTATTTCCTCCGTTTTCCCTCACAAATATATTTAATTTTCTGAATAAGACGTATAATAAAATGAATATCTTAAAACTAAATACAAAATTAATGTTGGGTAAATGACTAGATATAGTATGACTTTTTGAATTCATACATTTTTTTGAAAAAATTGTAATTTTCAAAAAAAGATGTTGTTTCAGTGTGAACTTGAAGAGAAATTTTAAGGAAAATAGGTTTTGAACGCTTAGATAGGGGTAAAATCAGACTTTATGAGGTATGTTGTATATATTATAGTTTGTGCTGTAATATGTCATGAGATCAGAATATGAAGGGAGTATATATAATTGTTATTGTCACAGGTATATATGTGAGGATAGCTCAGTAGAGTCTGTAAAATAGTTTAGTAGAAGAAAAAGTTATATAAAGAACAAAAAATTAAAAATAAACATTATTAAGTGAAAACCAAAGTTTACCTATTTTATGTAAGGTTTTGTCTTTGTGGGTTGAGGTATATGACAAAAAAGATTGGATAATGCACTCTTGTCGGTCAAACTTCCGCATTCAAGTTATGAATGCGGAAGAGTGTCTCATTCTGGGAGACATGCAGAGGCAATGTCTCCCAGAATGAGACACTGCGACCGACAGGAGTGCACAATACACTCTTGTCGGTCAAACTTCCGCGTTCAAGTTATCAATGCGGAACATTGTTCCATTCTGGGAGACATGCAGAGGCAATGTCTCCCAGAATGAGACACTGCGACCGACAGGAGTGCACAATACACTCTTGTCGGTCAAACTTCCGCGTTCAAGTTATCAATGCGGAACAGTGTCTCATTCGAGGAGCCCTCAAAAAGAACCTCACATCGACTCTCTCTTTCCGGCATCTTTACCGCATAGAAAACTGCTCGTTCGCAACTTTGTGTGCAATCTAAGAGATGATTGCGGTAAAGATGCCGGGAAGATTGACGCTGCAGCAGAGAATCACTACGGCTCTCTTTTACCGGCATCTTTACCGCATAGAAAGCTGCTCGTTCGCAACTTTGTGTGCAATCTAAGAGATGATTGCGGTAAAGATGCCGGGAAGATTGATGCTGCAGCCCCAGGCCGCACTCAGATTTCATCCCGCTACACAATTGTTCATCCAACAACTGTCATAGAGGTTGAAATTTTCGACCAGAAGTGAAACATATCATTTTTAAGACTGCGGCGCGCAAGCAAGTTTGAACCTTTCAAGGGTGATCAGTCCTTTACTCATTTCAAGACCTCTTGTTGCCTGATAAAACGATACTTCCTTCCTTGTGGGCCATTGAAAACCGCCCAAACCGTCACAACTTGCTTCCTAAATTTTATTTGCGGAGTAATTATCATGCATATTTTATCGGATAATAATATCAAAGCTAAATTTCATATTATTTTTTAAAGATATGCATTTTCTGTCTAAATTTATTTTTTCTGTTTCCAATTCACGGAATAATATTCTTACAAGCATATACATAGCTAATATATATCATTTTAATAATAATAAAACCAAAATGATGTATTCTTCATATAGTTATTTAAAATTCGTTAACTAGAATTGTATTCAGAACGAGGCAAAGTTAGGAGATACATAAAAACCAATAACTTGATAAGTGATACCTTTTTTCCTGATATATCTATATGTGTTAATGTCAAACACGATTTGGAAAAATTAATTCTTTAAATCGGCTTAAGAATAAGACCAACATCAAAAGCATGGCTAATAAATTAATAAATCAATGTTTAATTACCGATTCATGCATTTTTTTCAAAATTTCAAATTTCAAATTTTTGTTTCTCCAAAATATTAATTGTTTCCACTAGATTAACAAATAAACAATAAATTGGATTAATGTAATGCCCAATCATTCATTTTAAATTTTAGATTTAAAACAATATTTTTCTCCATATTATTATAACATGAATCGCTATGATATAAGAAATATATTTTCAATATTGAAATTGAAAAATTCTAAAATTTTTGAAATTCAATTTGAGTGTGATGATCGATAACATATATTTTTTAATTAAAATCTTGTGTCGCTATCATATAAATATACTATTTCTAAATTAAAAATAGAAAAAAAGGTACTATTTAATGATGAAATTGCAAATAATATCAATATATATATATTCATGCTGATATATTTTGGGAACAGATTGGCAATCACATAAATAGGATTGTGTTAGTTTGTCATGGATATAAAACAAATTTTCGAGCTAATTGAGCGAATTTAAATCACAAACACTTATATTTTCTATTACAAGGTATATTTGTAATATACAACCAGTAAATAGCTTTCTCTAACTTTTACCAGCTTAGATGATAGCAAATTAGATACGAATTTCATGACCCCTCACCAAATTCCACTAAAACATATACAAATAAAAGTACTAAGTGGGTATCATCTAACCCTAGAATTATAGCTCCTAGGACTCATCCTAGATGGTAGTTCTGGAAAAACACCTGGTTTTTGGAGTTGCAAAAGTTAAAAATTGAGGGTAAATTTGACAATTTTATTTATCAGGAGAGCAAGTATTAGCTTTGTAAATAGTATTCTATTACATAAAACATATATGTTTTTGAATAAGAAATGATTGTTTCATACCTTACAACTCGGATTAATCACTTTTCCACATTTCTCTCAAATTTGAGAGAATTTGAGATCTATGACGTACTGAAAAATAAACGTCGATTACATCAAAAATCTGGACGATAGAATGGACAAAATTTAATAGACATAAATCTGAAATTGAAGAATATAATATAGTTATCATAAAGCTCAACTTTTATAAAAATCAAAAAATTGACGATCTTTTTTTTTTCTGCTTTTTTTTCTCGAGTGAGAGAAATTTTTTTATTTTATTTTATATAAATGTTTTTGAATATTGTGAAAGGCCCTCTTCCTAATATAGTCATGGATATAGACAAGGATGAGCTTACCGTAGCTGAAGTAGCAGAAAATTATAAATTAGATGCGAATAAAATCCTCTTATGCACACCTAAATTTAGAATTTTACTCAAGCCTACGGATAAACTCTTCGAAATCGAAAAAAACTTACGACTAACTATCAGGCCACAAAGATATCCCCCTGCTCCTTATCATCTAAGAGAACTTGGTCCAAATGAACAAACATACATCTCAATTCCAGTAGAAATTAAAACGCAGTCCGATGTTGAATTTCCAAACATGGTAATCGATTTAACGAAAGCGGAGGCTGAATCATTAACAGCTCGTTCATTATTAGGAAAATGCTCTCAACTCTTTGGCTACGATTGCAGTCAACAGACAATCTCAGAAAATGGCACACAATTAGATGAGAAGACAATAATCAAGACAAATCCTGAACATTTGGCGAAAAATAGTTATCTTTACTCCTGCAACCTTTCTAAGTCTGCCATTCATCCAATAAAGCATCGTATCAACCTTTGCCAGCAAATTGTCGATTCAGAAGCTTTCTACATCGAAACATTGAAGACGATGTTGACTTATTGGCAGCCCCAGATCAAGTCAGCGGGATATTTCAATGACGAAGTTGGAAATGAACTGTTCAAGAACGTTTCTTCGATGATTGGAGCTCACCAGATGTTTTTAGAACAGTTGAAACAGCAAAAGATTTCATTTAAGCAAACAATCTGCGAAACATTCCTCAACTTCGTTCCTTACTTCAAAGTATCATCTGCTTTCGTCTCAAATTACCAGGCAAACGACGCATACATATTAAATAAATTAAAATCACGTTCGATGACGAAAGCCTTCCAAGAATTACAAGACAAATGCCCAGATAAATCTGGCCGTTCATTTGCTCAGTTCTACGTCGCTCCTGTCCAAAGATATCCGAAATATACTCTTTTACTTCGCGATCTTGACAAGAGAACACCAAGATTCCATCCAGACAAAGACTTACTCCCTACAACCCTTGAAGCTCTCACAACTGTCAACGGTTCGTTCAATTCCAGCACATTTATGATGAAAATGACATATGTGATGAACCAGCTTCAAAAAGAGATCGGCAATTCGTACAAGATCCTTATCCCCCGTCGCCAACTCCTCATGCAATGCGAAGTTAAAATTATTTCGATTGCAGCTAGTTCGGGAAAGGGATTTATCAACTTATTCAACGATATCCTTCTTATTACCGATAAGCACAAGAAGAATCAAGAGGTTCTTTTATTCCAAAACCTTGAGAACCTTCATTTCAGACAACAAGGTGACGCTTTAGTTATTATTGGTACATCAGAGATCCATATTACGTTCAAGGATTCAGAAGAAAGTGCTTCCTTCTACGAAAAGCTCCTCCAACAGATAAATGTCTGTTTCTCAAACATCGATTGCAAGGAACCGTTCGCTACATGGCGTTTGGGAACCGACAGTCCTGTCCAGGTATGGCTCCACGCTGGCTGCATCGTAAATGGAAGAGCTCTCTACTTCGGCGGACGAAATGGGAACTTGATGTTGTCCACGAACTTCCTCAAATTCAATATCGACACCAACCATTGGACAATCGAAGAGAACTGCCCTGTTCCGCCAAGGTTTGGCCATACTTTCGTCGCATGTGGCGAATGCGCTTACGTTTGCTGTGGCAAATTGCTATCGGCCATGGCCAGCGATATCTGGAAATTCGACCAGATCACGGGTGTTTGGTCGAAAGTTAAGGACGAGTTACCTGAACATGCGAGATTTGGCCATTCCTGTGTTTCATGGGGTTCCAAGCTGATTATCTTCGGCGGAATGACTCCTGGACAACAGATCTCCAACTCTCTGTTCATTTTCGAAACAGATACAAACAGATTTTACGAATGTTTGACAGAGAACCCTCCACCAGGCAGATTCATGCACAGCGCGTTCATCAATGACCAGGAACAGATGGTAATCATGTACGGAAACTCCAAGAAGAGACTTGCGAACGAGATCGACATTTTAGATCTGAAAACAATGAAATGGTTCTACATTCCGATCTCTGTTGACAGGGAATTCTCCGGCATGAACTTTTCTGTCTTCAAACACGGCAGATTCGCTTATTTCATCGGTGGAACATCAGGAACAAACACTGTTCCTCTCCACGCTCTTGATTTGAAGACATACAAGATTGTTGAGATGAAAGAGTACGGAAATCCACCACGCGCTGTTGTCAACTCTGCCTGTGTTTTGTACCAAGGAGAGATTTTGATATTTGGAGGCAGAGAATCTCCACTTGGAGGCAGTGTTTTGAACACTCTCTGCTACTTAAATGTCGCTGCAGGAGAGAAAGATTTACCTGTTACTAATTATCAGTTACAAGAGAGAAAGGTTGAATTCACTGAAGAAGAACTCAAGAGAAGAGAGGAGTTGAGAAAAGAACAGAAACAAAGAGAAGAAGAAGACAACAGAAACAAATCATCAGAAGTCGACGAAAAGAAGAAACAAATGGAAGAAGAAGAGAGAAAGAAGAAAGAAAAGAGAAAGAAGAAAGAAGAGAGAAAGAAGAAAGAAGAGAGAAAGAAGAAAGAAGAGGAAGAAAAGAAACAAAAAGAAGAACAAGAAAGACTTGCAAAAGAAGAGGCAGAGAGAAAACAAAAAGAAGAACAAGAAAGACTTGCAAAAGAAGAGGCAGAGAGAAAACAAAAGGAGGAAGAAGAGAGAAAACAAAAGGAAGAAGAAGAGAGAAAACAAAAGGAGGAAGAAGAAAGAAAATTAAAGGAGGAACAAGAAAGAAAAGCTGCAGAAGAAAAGAAAGCTAAAGAAGAAGCTGAGAGAAAGGCTAAAGAAGAACAAGAAAGGAAAGCTGAAGAAGAGAGAAAGAAGAAAGAAGAGGAAGAAAGACTTGAAAGAGAAAGAAAAGAGAGAGAAGAACAAGAAAAGAAAGCCAAAGAAGAGGCAGAGAGAATTGCAAAGTTAGAGGCTGAAAAGAAGGCAGAAGAAGAAAGAAAAGCCAAAGAAGAAGAAGAGAGAAAAGCCAAAGAAGAAGAGGAAAGAAAGAAGAAAGAGGAGCAAGAAAGACTTGCAAAAGAAAAGGAAGAAGCAGAAAGAAAAGCTGCAGAGGAAAAGAAAGCTAAAGAAGAACAAGAAAGAAAAGAAAAGGAAGAAGCAGAAAGAAAACAAAGAGAAGAACAGGAAAGACTTGCAAAGGAAGAGGCAGAAAAGAAGGCTTTAGAAGAAAAGAAAGCCAAGGAAGAACAAGAAAGAAAACAAAAAGAAGAAGCCGAGAGAAAGGCTAAGGAAGAAGCAGAAAAACTTGCAAAGTTAGAAGCTGAAAAGAAGGCCAAAGAAGAACAAGAAAAGAAGGCCAAAGAAGAAGCGGAAAGAAAACAAAAAGAAGAAGCGGAAAGAAAACAAAAAGAAGAAGCAGAAAAGAAGGCTTTGGAAGAAAAGAAGAAAGCAGCAGAAGAGAAGAAGAAGAAAGAAGAGGAAGAGAGAAAGAAGAAAGAGGAAGAAGAGAAGAAGAATTCAGAAAAAGAAGGACCAGTTTCACAAGGCAAAGTCTTGGAATCAAGACAATCCAAACAAAAACAAAACGAACTTCACCTTCAGAAACAGAGATCACAGGACGTATTCCAATACAGTCAGAAACAAACACTCGAGGAATTCATCGAACTCCAGAACAAGAAACAGTCGAGAAAGATCACTTTCGTCAACATGGAAGGCGTAAACCAGTTCGTTTTCCTCTCAGGAATCGAATCTCCTCAAATCAATCCACAGACAATTTCCAAGGAAATCTCTTTGGAAGACCTCGGAGACCAGTACATCGAGAACTCCTTCTACAACCTCATCAGCGTTGATCCGCAGTACTTGACTGTCAGTTCCAAAGTCATCACATCGAGAAAGGCAAGAAGATTGTGGCAGACAATGGTTTCTGTCAGAACTCTCGAGAAAGACATCGAGGAATTGAACAAACTGCAGAACGTGGAAGTTCCAAAGGGAACTAAGTTCTTCGCAAAGGTTTTGCAGCAAGGAAAACTCGCAAGAGTTGTGAAATTCACTGTCGGAGATGACGTCGAATCCATCAAAAAGAGTGTTGAAAATGAGGTCAAATTCTCAAAGATTTCTTTGATGAAAAAAGGAGAAATTGTTGAGTTGTCAGCAGAGAACTTGCATGATGCTATTAAATGTGCGGTTGGTGTTCAGAGATCAGATATCAAGTTACAAATCGAATAAGTGTTTTAGTATTTTATTTATTTTATTTTTAATTTTTTTTTACGTTTAAAAAACCTATTTTCATATTTTCACGTTATTACTTCTACTCTTTTTATCTATGAAGATTAATCTATGATAAGAATAAGATAAAACTAATGCATTCCAGGTATCAAATTAATAAAATTATGTTCTAATGTCAGTCAATCTTCGGGATTTTTAGGGTTTATACAAATAAACTGTCGACAAAGGTTGTTATGCTGGAATTTGCCATACATTTTCAGATATTTATAAATACAGATTAACTTTTGACACCTTTGGTTAGTTAGTAAATGAAATCATAGCCTATATGATCAATTGTGACTACGTATCCAATTCATTTTCATCTCATATTACAAATTGAATTTTCGAATTGTTTAAAATTCGGGAACTATACTCTCTTATAATAGGAGAAGTTATTGTGATATAGGAAATACATCAAAAAATAATAGTTTGAATCATAACTGAATTCAAAATTTAGTTTGCTATCAACGATTAAATTTCTATCAAAAAATGATCGTAATTCATATAAAACAAAAATAAAAATGTTCTCCGATCAATACTATATGATAATGTAATCCGAAATAAACCTTTTTCTTTCAAAAATTGAATTGGGAACTTTTTTATTGTTTTATATCATGTCATCATTCGATTTTTGCTCAGATACTGAAAGAAAATCATGGTTCATCACGCTACTTGTATTCGCTATATTGTTCTCAATTATTGTAACACTGAATGTAGTTCTAACTGTTTGGTTTAGAATAAAAAATCCAGATTTTTTATTAAGAGATCAAATACCAAGATACATAATGATAGCTTGCATAGCAATAAAAACAATACTGCTTTTCCTCCAAGCATTTTGCTACAAAAATTTAGAAATCTCTTCAAAAATACGCACAGCAGTTATTTCATTTGGTGGATATGCCATAAATATTGCTTATTTATCAATACTTTACTCATGGTGCAATGCATTTAAGGATGCTATTGGTGGAAAAATGCAAAAGTTTTTCGGAATAACAAAATTGTTTATAATTGGTGCTTCCATAGTATCCATAATCCAATATTTCGTATCTTTATTTATTACAAATCAATCTTTTTGATATTTTTTCTCAATCCTATGGGATTTGATATTAATTGTACTTTTCGTTGGAATGGCAATTATATTACGAGTGAAACTTGACATCAAGTGCAGTATTAAGCTCAATTCAGAGCATATTATTTATATTCTTTGCTCAATTGCATCAATAGCTCTAATTACTAGAGCAATTTGTTACTTTGTATTCATCTCATGGTATGCAAAAGACCAAAAGGCTCAGCCTGATTGCGAACGGAGACAAATGGTAAACATTTGTGTGAAAGAATCGATTGGCCAATTTCTACCGCTTTTCACCATTGTTCTATCTGATTTGCTTATTCATTACGAAAAAAGAACTGATATTACTAGTGTGGAAATGATTGAAGCTTTCCAAGTAATTTGAATAAGACGATGCGAAAATACAGGAGCACAGATTCTATCCAATATAGGTAGACTTCCGAAAATCAGTTCCTTCTCGAACTTTCCAAGATTTATTTTATTTTGTTTACATTGAACGAATAAACTGTTTGTTTTTAAGAGTATCATTACTTTCTGATAGAGTATTTTCTGAATAAATCCTATTAAAATATTAAATTGGGAAAAATTTGATATCATTTAAAATGACGGTGAATTTTAGTGAAAATGCATTTACTAGCTGAGATATGAATATAGACTGAAATCATTTGCTTGAAGTAATGATTTGTCTTTAACCTTATTTTTTGACTTGAAAAGAAAAAATTAAGTGCTTCTGGTGGGATTCGGACCCACGACCTTCCGCTTACTAGGCGAACGCTATAACCACTAGGCTACAGAAGCTCTTCCAAATACGCTAAAAATGTGTATTGGTCAATGAAACTTAATGATTTTATCTCGCTCAATTTATAAATTTTCAGATTTATAATCGAATTTTATTCTACTTAAGTTATATCCAAAATTTTGACTATTAAAATCTTCATATTTTTTTACAAACTTTATCCAATTTTTTTCGTTTTTCACTTTATTGACTCAAAATTAAACATCTATTCTATATTCACCATCTCTCAACAATTTAACTATAAAAATCAACAAATTATATTACGAATTTTTTTAATAAAACAACAAAATACTAAAATAAACAAAAAAAAATTAATAAAGTTACATTTCTATGTAATGTATCAACGCATTGATAGTTATCTTTGAGTTATCTCCAGCAGATTTCGATACCTTCTGCAACACTTTTATTGCGTTCGAATTCTTCAACAGTTTCTTTCCTTCGTCTGTTCCTGCAATAGCGTGGAAAGCCGACAAAACTCTCATTACTCCTTCTTCAGTTTCAGAGGCATTCAACAGTTTGTCAATCAATTCTTTCTTTATCACATCTCTTGTATACAACTCTCCTTTGCTCACAAGGTTAGATATCAAACTTGCTGAGCATTCCACTGCTCTTTCATTTGATTTCAGCAGTAAATCAGATATTTCGTTTATACTTGGAACGATGAAACCTCCAACATCAGAAGTATGATAAACAGCATTAGAAAGAGCGTAACAAGCACTTGCACATACATCTTCATCATTATCACTTGCAAGTTTAACTAATTTAGGTATGGCTTTGTCGCTAAAATCATTAGGACGACCACCCTGTCTCCATACATTTCCTAAAAAGTGACAACATCTTCTTCTTACAAAAGGTGACACATTTTCTAAATCTTGTAAACTCAGTTCCAATATATTACAAGTATTCTGCATTAGGGATATATATTCATGGCTTAATCTTGCGTAATGCGATGCCACTATATAAAAGCTTTCTCTTGAGAAGTCATTGGCCAAAAGTGCCTGTAAAACATCCTGACAAGAATTTTTGAGAATTTTTGTTTGGTTTGGAAAAGAAAGAACTAATTGAACTAATAACAATACTTCTGATGACGGTTCTGTCAATAAGTCTGAAGAAATGAATTTGCAGAGAGATGGTATCAATCCTTTAACACATAAACTCTCTCGAACAATTTCAATTTCTTTCTTATTTTCTTCAAAAAGTGACAAAACAAATTCAGAAATATCATGAGTGCAAGTTGGAACATTAAATATGTCAATCATCGATGGCAGCAAAGGTATGATAGTTGTAGATGGAACACTTGATAATATCGAACTGAGAAGTGGCGCTTGGTGTATAGGAAGTAGCATTGGCAATTTTTCAATGCAACTTTGCAACATTTTTTCATCAATGTTGAAACATCGGAAAGGACTTCCGAAAACAGCAGCGTAAAACAAGATTTCTTTCTCACTGCGTGCACTACTCGATGCGGCACTCAAAAGACTCTTAAGACGTACTTCGTACTGTGCATCACCACCACAAAGAAAACGTGACAAAAATTTTATGTCTTTTCTTGCTGAAACGTTTGTGACTTTGTTTTGGAAGTCTGGGATGAAATTCAGCTGTGATAAGGATGCCTGGCAGAAGAACAAGGCGGAGGAGTAGAGACAGAACGAGGAAATATGTGGTTTAGTGTCATCTAAAAGTTTGAAAAGTGTTTGGACAAATTCAGAAATCGGAGCAATGGAATTGAAACAGTTTTCATCTCTTGCAACCATAGCTGCAATCAAAGTAAGAGCACAACAGGATATAATTGGTCCGGGTGACTTGATCACTGAAAAACTAAGAATAGGAAGAGTTTGGGCGGCTGATTGACTGAATTTCTCACCAAAAGGGGCGGAAACTTTAATTAGATAAACGAGAAGTGTGTAAAGGATCTCTGTGTCCTCTGTATCTAATGTTGTAAGGCTGCCAAGAAGCTCGTCATGTAATTTCTGACAAATTTCGTCAGGAATCGTTGGTGGAACGACTTCTTCCTCTGCAATTCGACATTGAGCGTAAGGAATGATGATGGCAAGCGAAAGGAACTTCAAAGTGTTGTGTTTCGTCGGATTTGTGGATAATAATTTTGTTGCAGCGGCAGAAACATAAGGAGAGTACCTGGATGGGTCGATATTAAGAAGTCTGACTGCAATGTTGGTTGCTTGGTCGGCTGTTTCGTCGCATTGAATGAAATAAGGAATATGCATCGCAAAAGTATTGGCCAAAGGGGATTGTTCAAGTGGATCTGCATTCTCTAGCTCATTAAGAGCTTCGCAGAGTGTAAGAGCTGGGTATTCTGTTGGTGACATGAGAACATCTTGAAAATCTAATGGTCTTGAGGTCGGAGGACGGAAATCCTGGTCTTTGAGAGCACTTTCGAACTCTTCGTTCTTGAATCTGTAGAATGAATCATCAAATGGTCGTAAATCTACGTAGGCAATCCATGGATGATTCAATAACTGCTCACAACTCCATCTGGAGTCAGGATCTTTGACGAGGGCCTTGAGAATGAAGTCTTTGAATTCATCGGAGATGGGTCCTGGCCATGTAATTGGTTCATTAATGATCATTTTGATTAAATTGTACATTGAGTCTGTAAAATATGGTGGTTTTCCGTAATAGAGTTCGTATAAGATAATACCTAACGACCATATATCAATTTTTTCTGTGTAAGGGTATTCTTGAACGAGTTCTGGTGCCATATATAATGGAGTGCCTTTAATTGAGTTTAAAACTAATGTTGTTCGTGACAAAGCTCTTGCAAATCCAAAATCACATAATTTAATTGATGAATTATCTGAAACGAGAATATTTTGTGGTTTTAAGTCGCGATGAATGATTTTTTTCTGATGTAAATGATTTAATGCTGACACTAACTGCGCTGCAATTGGTTTTAACTGTTCTTCTGGTAGTCTCTGCGTATCTGAGATGATCTGAAACAAATCTCCTCTTCCGAGCTCTGTAACTAAGCAAAACTCCGAATCTGTTTCAAAGTATTCAAGTAAACGCATAATATTTGGATGATCAACTTTCTTTAAAATATCAACTTCACGGCGGAAATTTACTAAATCTTCGTCTTTCATATTGCCTTTCTGAATTGTTTTTATAGCAACCATTCTGCCCGTGTATTTCCTCCTCGCCTTAAATACACGGCCAAATGATCCTTCGCCGATTTGTTGAATTAATTTGTATTCATCCATTCTTATTTCATATCACATATCTACTTCATTCACTAGAAAATTGTGTGATGAAAATAGGATAAATAGCATCCCTATATAGTGTCTGGCAATAAAGTTGGTCTTCAAACCCGCTATTTTGGAACAAACTCGATAGTATGCCCATTCATATTTTAATGAAGTTAATCATATACATGTACTAGATAGAATGATTTTGGATTTCTTTCTATAAGCTTAAGTATACATATTTCAATCATTAATATTTTAATGATATTGATATTTAAAAACTATTTTTAAGTTAATATCTATCTTTCACTTAAATTTTGGGTAATACATACATATCTTTTACTAAATAAATGATTCTAACATAAATTTTCAGTACATTTGCCATATTAATTTTTGAAATCTGATTCATATCTCGACTTGAAGTAGATATTGAGTGTGTTTTTACATATAGCTAGAAAGAGGAAGAAAAAGTACAAGGATACTTTCGTAAGCATTCAGTTTTGGGCTTTATTCATAGAGATATAAAGAAAAAAAATTCATCGATAGGAAAAACGACTAAAATAAAATTTTACAATTTTTTCATGACTGATCAAGATATTCATCCATATAACTATAGTGAATTGCGAAGTAAACACAAAGGCTACATCGATTTATATATTGCTTTATATCAGCTGAAAACAGAAGATGAAGGGGATTTATATGAGATTTACAATAAGATCAAAGCAGAATTGATTGATTCAAAGATATGTCTTCTCCAAAATATAATTAGAGATGTTTTGGATATTATTCCTTATAATAATCGCTATGCAAGGTCATATTTATTTTTTGCCAAACACATTTCTGATGATTATCAAGTTAAAGAGTTCAACAATGGTATTTATAAAGAATATGGTATTAAATTAGGTATATCTGGTGAATTCGAAAAATATAAATCAGAAAATCTGGATTTTCTGACAGAAAATTCAATTTACAGAGCAATTATGTATAATGACAAAGAAGCATTCATCTTTTTCATTGAAAGTGAAGGATTTGATGAAGATCAAAAACTAAAAAGTGATTTATATCCGTTTACTGCGCTAAAAGGATATTCATTACTTGAATTATGTTGTTATTATGGTGCAGTCGATTGTTTCAGGTTATTAAGAATGAATTGTGGGTCAAAAATAACTATCACATGTCTTCATTTTTCTTTTTTAAGTGGAAATCCAGAGATCATGAATGAATGTTTAAAATTTCAAAAACCAGATGAAAAATGCATGGAATATGCAATTATTTCTCACAACATTGATTTTGTTACATTCTTAATGACTGAATACAAATTAAAGATCAATTTAGAACATTGCTTAGAATATAAAAATCTTGAATCATTATTAGTTTATTTTGATCAGACTCGTGAAATCAGTGAGTGTTTTATTTATTCAATACAGTTTAATATTAGAACACTTTCTGAATATTTCCTTTCACAGGGTGCAAATATTAATGCAAAAGATAAAAATGGGAAAACCGCTCTTCATTATGCAACATATAATAATAACAAAGATATGGTCAAGTTTCTTATAGTTTATGATGCAAATTTTTATGAAAAAGATCAGTATGGTGAAACTGCTCTTCATTATGCAGTAAATATAAAAAGTAACGAAATGATCGAAATTCTTTTAAGTTTTGGTGCAAATGCCAATGTAAAAGATAAAGATGGAAGAACTGCTCTTCGCCTTCCGTACTTGAGAATCAAAAGATTGAGAAAAATCGAAAGACCAAAAGTAGGTTCTGAATGTAGAATTAAATTATGAAGATCATAAGAAATTGTATTCAAATGACTTCATATTTATAATTTTTTGCAAAAATGATAGAATATTTTTGAAAAATTTATAATAAAAAAAATTTATTGAATTATAGTTGTTTAGAACATGTATAATTAAAGCTCTGTTTCTGGAGCATCTGATTCTTGTGGGCAGGAAGAATCAAAGTATTCATCTGAAGGACATTTGAATTTGGAATAAGCTTTGCAGAGAAGATCTTTAGTTTTACGTGTAAAGGCGTATTCTGTGTCTTGGTGTTTTACAGCAAGGTCGCAAATCTCTTTGCTCGACTTTTCGAACAATTCTGAGTCTTCAATTACGAAACTCAAGATTTGATCAATATCTTTATAATTCTGTGTATTGTTGAGTAATTTGATGAAGCCCTTGGCAATTTTCGGAGGACATTTATTGTCTGATGACAAAATAAATGATTTCACAAGTTTCTTTGAAGAATTAATAACGCTTTCTTCACCAGGGCATTGTGTAATGATCTTGGTAATTGGGATAATATTGCAGGTCGGTAAATTTCTTTGAATGACGTTCAAAACATTGGCTGATGTATTAAGAAGGTTATTAATGAGATTTAGATTACCTGAGTAGTCGCAATACTGTGATCTCTGTTCAGCTGCATGAATCATAACAGATACAACATTATAGAGCAATGAAACATTTGTAATAATTAAATCGAAAGAGCTATTAGTCATTATTCGATCAAGTCTGCTTGTCATTCTTTCTACGAAGTCATCTCTTGTATTAGGTGCTTGTAATTCACTTGCGATAGAAGCAATTGTGAAATTAATTAACTCGAAAGGATTGTCACGCAACTTATCTGTTTCAAAATTCTGTGTTAGTCTTTTAAGTTTAAACAAAAAGTATACGAGAACTCCTAGCCAAGTTAAAGAGACAACTAATAAACCAACTTGAAACTCCAAAGATTGGACACATGACTGGAGCTTTTCAGCTCTTGACATGGCTTGTGCTTTCATCTTTTCGTATGGTGTCTGTGGCTTGTTTTTCTTATCTTTTTTCTCTTTCTTTGTAACCATTTTCGAAATTTGTCAAAAACAAAAAATTTCATCGGAAAATAAAAAAAACTTTTCATATGTTGATCTTAAATTTTATACGATGATATGCATTTCACATTGAAGTAACAGACATATGCCCAAGAGGCCAAACTATTGCCGTCGGTGTTCAGCATGAATTTTTCAATTTTGAATCTATATTTTCGATAATTTCGAGAAATCTAAAGGGGTCTCTTTTATAAAACACAATCAATATGAATTTAATGAATATATTCCTTATAACCTTAGAAGAAATTCAAAATTAAATCTTTTTGATTTTAAATCGAAAGCATAAATATTCTATCATGTTTATTCTGTATCGAAAAGCTTTGTGGAAAGGTACTTCTCGCCTCTATCAGCGAAGAGAACAACAATAACACCTTCATCAAGCTTTTCAGCGACCTTCTGGGCAGCAAGCATAGCAGCACCAGCAGACATACCGATGAAGATACCTTCCTTGGCAACAACTTCGCGTGCCTTATCGAAAGCAGCTTCAGATTCGATGAGGATGTGTTCATCGATCTGGGATGGATCGTAAATAGCTGGAACAATAGCCTCTTCCATGGACTTGAGACCCTGGATGTAGTGGCCCTTTGTTGGTTGAGCTTCAACGATCTTGATGGCTGGATTCTTCTCACGAAGGTTCTTTCCAACACCCATAAGTGTTCCGGATGTTCCGACAGCAGAGACGAAGTGTGTGACCTTGCCTTGTGTCTGAGCCCAGATTTCTTCGGCTGTTGTCTTGTAGTGAGCGATCTTGTTGTATTCGTTTGAGAATTGGTTTGGATTGAAGTACTTTCCTGGGTTCTCCTTAAGAATTTCAGCAACCTTACGGATGGCGCCATCTGTGCCGAGCTTCTTGTCTGTAAGGATGATTTCAGCTCCGAAAGCCTTGATCATCTTGCGGCGTTCGATTGAAACACCTTCACTCATGACGATGACGACATTGTAGCCCTTAACACGGCCGATCATAGCAAGACCGATACCAGTGTTTCCGGATGTAGCTTCGATGATTGTGGATCCTGGCTGGAGTTTGCCTTCTGCTTCAGCTTGTTCGATCATCTTGAGAGCGATACGATCCTTAACTGAACCTGTTGGGTTGAAACCTTCAAGTTTAGCGTACATTTGGACCTTTGGGTTTGGATTAAGGTGATTGATGCGGACCATTGGTGTGTTACCGACTGTCTGGAGGATGTTGTCGTAGATCATTCTTTGCAACTATAAAAATGAAGTGGGATAAAGCAATCAGAAGATTTATCGAACCTCTCAGAAAATTTGAATGGAAATTTGTTCATAAATTGAGTTAGCGGTTGACCGTTCCATCTGAGAAATAAAATTGACTTTGATTAAATGTTTTTATTTATCATGCAATTCTTCTTGCGACCAAAGATTTGAATAAAATTCCAAAAAATAAGATAGCTTAAAAAATAATATACGGTAGTGTTTACTAATAGATGAATAGTATATAAATTCTATTAAAATGGATTTGATCCAAAAAAATATAAAACCAAAAATAATTGTTATAATTTAAATGAAGAAGTAATTTAAAACGATTTTATTTATGATCAAATTTTATATATTTTTTTGGATCAAATCCATTTTAATAGAATTTATATACTATTCATCTATTAGTAAACACTACCGTATATTATTTTTTAAGCTATCTTATTTTTTGGAATTTTATTCAAATCTTTGGTCGCAAGAAGAATTGCATGATAAATAAAAACATTTAATCAAAGTCAATTTTATTTTTCATATTCAAATGGACTGAGTGTTAACATTTAACATTTTTTGCTAATTGTCGTCAAAAATTAGGCGTAAAGCAAAAATTGATATTTCATATGGTTTTATGATAGATAAGCATTATATTCCCACTCATTATATTCGTAAATTTTGAGGTTTATCCTTCGCTTTTAAGATCATTGAATTTGATTTTTATATAAAATAGTTATATATTAGAAAATAATATGAGTTTATGTGATATTATTTTTCAGAAGATTTCATTCTATATGCCTATGAAAAGTACTCTCAAAACTAACTTTTTCCTAATTATAATTAAATCTAGAATATTGTATTATGCTTAGTATTATTTCATTTTTCTCATTCAATTTAGAATTTACAAATGTCAAAAAATTGAGAGCTGTCACTTTTGATGAATTTCTGTTTATTACAATAGAACCCTCTTGCTATTGTGTCAAACTTGCGAAACCGATAGCAAAAATATCTCGCAATATCAAAATTGAGATATTGAGTGAATTATGCATTATAGAGATTAAAAATCTGATTTGTGAAAACATCTCATCAGTTTCTAGCTAATTCAAAAATCTTTACTATCTTATTCGATTAAAATGAAAAGGGAATAGTTTCATTATGCTTTAAATGACAGCCTTATAATATAATCATAGTTTTCGCTCAATATGCAGCATTTTTTTTTCGAAATCTATGGTCAATATCCTAAATACTGATTGCTTTGCATTCATATCTCTTACATTTTCTATACCCACATCACTATTCATTGCTATTCCTATCTTTTTCATTTTTGTTTGTTTCTCATAATTTCTCAAAAAACATGATAACTTGATATTTGTAAATATCATACTTTATAACGTAAATAAGAACTTGACCTATTAAGAAAAGCAGTAATGAAAAGAAAATCTGAAATTCATAAAAATTACAAGTTTCTGATGACAATTAGCTTAATTAAACCAGGTACAAGATTATATAATTGTATTTTCTATCCAATTAAAAAAAAAAAAAAAAAAAAAAAAAAAGGTAGTGGGGCTTCCAGGCACTTCGTGCCTTCTAGCCCTGATGTTGATGTTTAGTATAAATGAAGTCTTAGAGGACAAACATGACTATGAGTTTTGATATGACAAGATAGAATATGAGAGAGGTCCTATAAACCGGAGAAAGTGTTATATAAACATCTGTCATATTACTCAGAATATTATACAGAATTCAATAAAAATATATTTTAGGTGAAGAGGTGAGATTTCACCTGTTTTTTCACCTCATTTTTCACCTCTTGAATTTTCATGAATTTCATCGTAAAGACTTTGTCAAGATTTCATCGTAAAGACTTGTCAAGACTTCTTCGTAAATGTTTTGTCAAGACTTCTTCTTCGTAAATGTTTTGTCAAGACTTCTTCTTCGTAAATGTTTTGTCAAGACTTCTTCTTCGTAAATGTTTTGTCAAGACTTCTTCGTAAATGTTTTGTCAAGACTTCTTTCTTCGTAAAATCAGACAAAAATATATTTTTAGGTGAAGAGGTGAGATTTCACCTGTTTTTTTCACCTAATTTTTCACCCTCTTGAATTTTCATGAAATTTACACCAAAAATATATTTTAGGTGAAGAGGTGAGATTTCACCTGTTTTTTTCACCTAATTTTTCACCCTCTTGAATTTTACACCAAAAATAATGTTTAGGTGAAGAGGTGAGATTTTCACCTGTTTTTTCACCTCATTTTTCACCCTCTTGAATTTTCATGAAATTTAACCAAAAATATACTACTAGGGTCATTTACGAAGAAATCTCAACAAAGTCTTTACGAAGAAATCTCAACAAAGTCTTTACGATGAAATCTTGAAAAACATAGACAAAAAGTTCATGAGAAATTAGATGAGAAGTCTTAACAAGTCTTTACGAAGAAATTCATGAAAATTCAAGAGGTGAAAAAAGAGGTGAAAAAAGAGGTGAAATCTCACCTCTTTCACCTAAAATATATTTTTGGGTCATTACACTCATTTACGAAGAAATCTCAACAAAGTCTTTATGAGAAGTCTTGACAAAGTCTTACGAAGAAATCTCAACAAAGTCTTTACGAAGAAGTCACAATAAAACATCTGTCAAAAACCGCTTTTTTAACTTCACTTAAAATGCCACGTAAGCTACGTAAGAATATACGTAAGAGGAAGAGAGCATTGAAACATCCAATAGTAAGACTGACACCACAACAACAGTTGCAACAACAAATGCTGAATGACCCCACTATGTTGCAACAAATGTCAAGCAATCCTATGTTTTAAACCGAGTTGTTGGTGCACAGAGTGGAGGTTTAAGAGCGGCACTTTTAGCGAAAATGGCAGGCTATGGTGGAGCTGCAGACGGAACAGCTTATAACCCTCAAAGTCAAATGAATTTGAGTTCACTCAAAAATCAAATAACAGATGTCAAAAAGTCAAACATAGACATACAGAAAACAAATAAGTGAAAACGAAAAGAAACTAGAATATGACAGACACACAAAGAAACTCAATGAGTTAAACGTAGAGAAAAAGAAGAAAGAAGAAAACTGAAAGAACTAAGTACAGAGGAATATGCGAAAAAGTGTCAGAAAAAGCAGCAGAAGTAGCAAAAATGGAACAAGATGTTGTAAATTTGAAAAACCATACTACTCAATATAAAGTACTGAAAGATGAAGAGATAAAACAAAAAGCCCTGAAGACATATATGGATAGCGATGAGTATAAAAAGAAGTTGAAGCAAATGTAAAGGCAGAAAAACTTTTACAGTTGCAAAACCAAACCGTACAGTATGAAAACTTAGCACAAGAAAGTAAAAATAACGACGCAGCCATGCAAAAGGCAATGAAAAGCGCAGAATATATAAAAGCTAACAATGACTGGTTAGATGCCAAGCCAACGCTAAAGCAGCCCAACTCATAGGGTCAATAAGGACAAAAATACAAGCGGATGAAGACAGTTCAAATGAAGCTTTAACAAATGCTGACTTTAAGAACGCCTTCGAAGCTCTTCATAGTAAGGTGAAACAAGTGAACGACTTCTCATCTGGAAAGAAACTGAAGTCTGAAGGTTTCGACAAAGAGTTAAAAGAAGTAGCACAAAATATGACGAAAATAACAGATGCAGCAACGAGACAGGCAGTTCAAAGTGCCTATGACGCCGTTAGAGCAACTGTTGTGAAAAGTCAAGAAAAAGAGTTACAACAGACCAAAACAGACCTAGTAAATGCTTTCTTAAAAACGAAAAGTCAGATAGGACATTACGCTGCAGATGGAACATATGTGCCAGCTGGTGGAACTTATATACCACCAAACCCTCCAAGAGAAGCACCTGCACCAGGACTACCTAGAACATTTACATCGTCACATGGACACAGACACAGGCATGCACAACAACCAGCACAACAACCACCTCCACAACCAGCACAACAACCAACACAACAACCAGCACAGCAACCAACAGTTCAAAACCCTGCACAACAACAACCACAAACAGAGCAAGGACATAAAAGAAGTAGAGAACAAGGAAACCAAGAATTCTTAAAAATGCTTAAAGAAGAGTGTGGTTTCCCAGATACTGTTGACTTTAGTGACAGATATAAAGAAGCTATTAGAAAGTTCAAGGATGGAAATACTGACCCGAACCTATTTAGCTTTATGGCTCAGCACCAAAACGGATATAATCTCAAACCTGGAAAATACAAGCTCGCTAAGGGATATGATTTAATAGCATATCATCCAAATGACATGGATGAATTTACTCCGAGATATTTGATGTCAGAGCTAAATGACAATTCAACTTTCGTCATGAAACGCGTAAAAAATAGAGACGGAACGAAAGAACAAAAGCTTATGAATGCGGATGACGTAGATAGGGAAATTGTTGAAAACGGTCTCGGAATATATGAAATGCCAGCAGATGAGGTACAAGAAACTCCACAGGAAGAAATAGTTCAGATACAACCAGACATGGAAGAAATAGTTCAGCAACAACAGCTAGAAGAGCCTGAAGGAAACGAACAAGTCACTCCTTTGGAAACTAACTTCACAGAACTAGATGAAGATTTGGAACAGCCGAAAAATCTTGACCCTCAACAAGAGTATGCGGAGAATATGGAATATTTCCAAGAGTCTAAAAAAAATTCGGCTGACATAGTAGAAGAATATCGAAAAATGTTTGCCGACATACAAAAGACTCCAACATCAGATGAAAATATTCGGCATAGAATGGAAGCACTGAAAGAAAATGTACACAAATACAACAACCCTTTTTACTTACGAGCATTTAACGTTCAATCTTCGGATGAACTCGGTGAAGATAAAAGGTTAAATTTCAAGAAAACATATAGAAATGAAACATTGTTTAAAGTTCATTCAGAACCTAACCAAGATGGAAACAAACCTACTTTTGTTTCTGCAGACGATGGAACTACAATGAGATGGGGTCATAAAGCTAATCCAGATAGGTGGTTCATAAACTTACAACCTCAATTCCAAGAAGTTGTAGACGCAATGGAAGTCAATGGTGAACCAGATATAGCTGGTATTTTAAGCGCGGCTTTAATGCCATTGAAAGATATGAAACATGCAGATATTTTGGACCAGTATGAAATGAACATGGCTGATGGAAATATAACACCTGACGTTCTAGAACATTTATCTCAAGAACTACACAGAACCATAGAGATGGTATATTTGGTGAAGAGTTTAGAAAGAAAGTTAGGGAGAGCGAAGGAAGAGAACCTATTGTACATGACCTTGCAAATGAAAGTTTACAAAATGTCATAAAAACTTACTTTGCAGACAATGAACTGAGAAGGGATGAATATTTAAGAAAACTCAAATGGACAGTACCAAATGAAATGTTAGTATTGAAAAACATGTTCCTTGACAAAATAAAACCAACTACAGAAATAAACGACGCAAGACTGAAAGATTGGGTAAAAGCTTTCCCATTCACAAAAGATATAGTTGGTAACATGGAAAGAAAACCAGAATGGCTACAAAAACATATATTTGGAAACGAGCATATTCCATATGGACAGGCACTGTTTGAAGAGCTTGAACCAGAAACTCAGGAAAGAGTCATGCAAACAATACGCAAAGACTCAAATACAGACTATGACAAACTCTTTCTAGGATATAGGTTACCTGAGATGGGCGACCAGAGCCAAAAGCAAAAAGGACATGGGAAATTTGCAACATACTAGAATGAACATAAATGCAAAGATGCAACAACTTCAAGCAGAGGGCAATGAAGGAAAAAGAAGAGTTAAAAAACTCAGTCAGGAAGAAAGTAAAGCTTGGTCCACGTGGGTTCTATTATGACATATAAATCCAACTATTCTATATTTTTACTCATATGAAATGTACGCCGCTCAGAATATAACGCCAACAGTTTTGGATGCTATGAATGGAAATGTTTCCGAATGGTATAACGAATGCGACAATGCCATTAGAAGGTCAGAAATAGTTCCTGGAACTTACGAATATACAACTGCTGTTTCTTATGGAAACGTAGGTGAGTTTTGGAGAAGGTTCTTCAACAACAGTAGATATTGCTTGCGACAGGTTTCATATAATTTTCTATTGACAACTCTTTCTTATACGTGGAACAAGACATTGAAATAAAACCTTCTGCCAAGTTGTCTGACAAGAAAGGTTGCAATGGAATTTTCTATGTCGGATACCAATATGCTCCAGAAGTTTTCATGGGAATATAAATATATTCTAACTCTGACTTAGTTCAAACAGTAACATGGGCAAACTATGAATGGTTCGCTTTAAGAAACTCAGTACAACCACAAGCTAGAGAGACAAACAGACCAGTATGCAACTATGAGAAAATAAGAAGACTTGACCCTAACGTTCCAGGAGTTTATGTTGACCTTTCTGGTACAAACTGCAGCAGCAGTAACCAAAGTAAAAACTGAAACTTAGAGTTCCTTTGTCATCTTTCCTCATCTTCAGGTTTTTAAGATACTTGCCAAACTGGGCAGGAAAAATTTCTATCGAACTTACTCCAAGCAAAAATAACTTAGTCATTGCACCAACACAAGACCCATTCACTCTTACAGAAGTAGTGGGAACAAATAAAATGTCATTCGCCGACTTTTGCAAAAACAAAGTTGACTTAGACTTTGGTTTCTCAAACCTCAACACTGAAGTAAACTATTATTTCAATGCTGCTGGAGATGCTTGGGACCCAGTTAAGTTCACATGCGAAAAGTTTGAATGCAAGAGAATAGAAAGCAGACTTGCAGTCTATATGTTGGACCCAGATATTTCAAATGCTTTAGCTGCCAAATATATTGCAGTTCCACTTAATGTTCCCTATACACCAAATATCTGTCAAAGACTTTGCAGGTGAAGTTGGAAACAAAGTGCTGACCCAGGTGCAAGAACAGATATTGCTTTAACAACTGCAATGAAACATGCAGATACTATGTTTTGTACTGTTCAGACGAAACTATAAATGACTATTCTTGCTTCTACAACCCTGGTATTAAATACCATATAAACATAGATGGCAAATACTTCCAAGAGAAGAATATTCCACAGTTGAAGATATGAGGTCATACAACTTGACATTAGATGCTATGAACTTTAACAACAACTTCACAACAACCATTAACCCTGAAATGCAAAGTTCTATTATGCCATATGTGAAAGTATGGACCCATACAGGAGCTCAAAAAACTCAATATACAAATGGAGACCGTTCAAACTTTTGGCTTGGCATTCCATTTGCTGACTCAGAAGACTTTATGGGTGGTATTTTCAACTGTTGGTACAGTTCAAATACAATATACTGGTGACAGAGACGGTCCAAATGAATTGAAAACAAAGAAGTTTACAAAACCAATAGCACTTTTCACGGAAGATGCTCTTTTGAAAATTCGTTCGATGAAACCTGCTGGGGCTCCTCAGATTGGCATAACGACAGCTTCCATCGAGCAGATTTTGGCAGCAGGTCAGTAAGTTGTTCTTGAACTGACTTCTCTCCGTCAAATATTGACAGTACGCCAGTTTTGATATAGTATTGTATTAAAAACTTACCTTTAGAAAATATCGGTCAGTTTTGTTGTTATATTTTTGTCTGCTTCAAGAACTTTCACCATCGGTTATACCAACTTTCTTTGCTTTATGAAAATATTTTGGTTTCAGCAAAGACTGCTATTCTATAACATTTTCCATTGTTTGTATAAGAACTATTCTGTCAATGTATTTGTATTGTTTGTGTGTGTAAACTTTGTTTTGCTTCAATTCGAAGAGATACTCGAATACGTCCATCTTTTATTCTAAGTAAAATGTCATTTCCGAAAAATAGAAGCGTAAGTGTTTCAAAAGGTTTAATGGCGATGGCAGATGTGAAGTTAAATTCACCAACTCAAACAAACAGTCAAAGTGTTGTTGTCAATGTCAAAGAAAGAGATGTTGAAGTGGGGAAACCATACGAAGACGAAGATGGTATAACAATTGTTCCTGTAAAAGAACAACCAACATATCCTGAAGTTAGCAGAGAGTTAAGTTCTGTTGCAGATATTCGAAATGACTACCAACAACTTAAAGACAAACTTAAAACTCAGGAGAAGATTTGTCAAGCTTTAGGTATAATGTTAAACTTGGTCGAACACAACCCTGTAAAAGTGAACTCATATGTCATCGCACCTCATGAAATTTTGAAAGAACTATTGAAACTTTTGACAGAGGCAGACGATATAAACATCAAAGAAATAGAACCCGACATTGCTTGCTGTGGTGTTTCATACAATGTCATTGACAAGATATACGTTATGAAAGGAGGTGAACGTTGAACTTAAAATATAGTTTCCAGACGTCATAAAAATATTTGACGACCACAACATTTCATTAAAATTTAGTTGCTAAGTAAATGGCAGAAGACATAGTGGTTTATACTATTACGACTAAAAACCCTGAGTCATATAATTCTATAACAACAAACTTACAAAGTCCTCAAGGACGATATTGTAAACTGACCTTAAACACGATGACGACTAAAGCCTGTTTTGCTCTTTTGACACCAGAAGACTTTGTTGTTGTGAATGGTAAAAAATACTTCTTTGAAGATACTTACTCAGATATACCACCAACAGGTTTGTTGACTTATTTAATACTTTAAGGACGGATGTAACATGTGCTGCAACTAGAGCAGGTTTCATTATGTTTGGATGTCCGACTGAGTTTAGTATAAACGATATGAGCTATAATACAAAACTTATATCTGGTTTTTACTACCAACAGTTTCCTATAACAGGAAAAGGTGTCATACAAGGTTTGTCTGTTCCATTGACTTTAAGTACACCTATTTTATATATTGTTTCAAACTTAGGTTCAAAGTGCTATTCGAATGTCGACAGAAACTACTATGACCAAAAGATACTCATGCGTATAAACAACACTTTCTCTGCTGGTTTGCCTATTGTTCATTCGAATGCAGAATTTTCAGCTTTAGTAAACTCAAACACTTTAGCAAACATAAACTTAACCTTAGTTGACGCAAACTTTGTTCCTGTAAAACTTTTATGTCCTATGTATTTGTCAATGACGGCAGAAAGTTTCGAATTGGAAGATGCAACTGGTGAAAGTATTGTACTACAAGAACAACTTCAACAACAAATAGCTCAAGAACAACAAATGCAAACAAAATGGAACAAATGCAACAACAAAGTCAAGAATAAAAAAAATATTTTTTTTATTTTTATAAAAATGTACAGAATAGACGTTTCAGATTTTTATGACTTCCAAGCGTTCAGAATATGTGTCCATTTAGAGACTATAACAAAGCAGTCGAGAATTTGAAACGTTTAGTCATTTATGTCGACTCTGCCCCAGAATGTTATGTCATGAAAGAATGGGATGTTGTCTTTAACAAACCAAGAGCAACCATAGTTTCAGAACAAGAATGTAGACAAAACTTAAGAAAATAAAAGTCGTACAAGTTGGAATGAAGATGTTAGATGCTTGGGATATCTTATTGTCAAAGTTAGAAGATTTTTCAGTTCGTGGTATAAAGTTCTATACACCTTCTCCAAACTTCTATTCTATCTTCACTGGATATAAATACGAACAAGTAGAATGGAAAGAAAATGTTATAGAAGCTTGGTTAGACCATGTCAAAGAAATTATATGCAATGGAAACGAAAAGGTTTATGAGTATATCTTATGTTGGTTTGCAAACATCTTACAACATCCAAGTGCTAAAAATGAAACTGCTCTCATTGTATTGGAAAAACAAGAACTGGTAAGAACACTTTCTTTACAGATATCTTATGCAAACTGTTAGAGGGCTATTCGAACCCTAATATGACAAACTTAGAAAACATCTGCGGTAAATTTAACTCCTCAATAGAGAATATGAAACTTATAGTATGTAACGAACTTCAAAGTATAGATACAACAAAGGTTTTAAACTCAGATGCTTTGAAGAGTCTTATAACAGACAAAGTTGGAGTTGTTGAAAGAAAATATAAAGACCAAAGAGTTTGTGAAAATGTTGCAAACTTCGTCATGGTTTCAAACAATGTTGTTCCGATGAAGTTAGAAAGTTCTGACAGAAGATATGTAGTTGTCAGAACGTCAGATTCTCATATGCAAGATACAGAATATTTTGACGACTTAGCAGAAACTTTGACACCTAACTTTTACAACCACTTGTTCTCATATTTCATGACATTAGATATTTCTAAGTTCAATCCAAGACAAATTCCATATACCGAAGAGAGACAAACATTGTTAGAAGCAAACAAGAGTGTATATGAACTGTTTATAGATGAGACTAACTTTGAGTGTTTAGATGAAAGGTCTTTGTACGACTCGTATAAACAATATTGTCAAGAGTATGGTTATATGACAGCATCTAAACGAACATTCTTGGCAAATGTCAAAAATCTTTTAGACATACAGAACGGCGTATATACAAAGAAAAATTTTTCTGAGTAAATTTTAAAAAAAATATATATTTTTATTTTATTTGAAATGTACGCTGAGTTTGTTGGAAAAGACCTAGATAACGAAAATAGATATGCGCTATTCTGGTTAGATTGTCCTTATGAAATGTATGAAAAAAAGGCTTTATATGAAGAATATAGAAAATATTGTCATGAAAACGATATAAGACTAAGCTCTAGAGAAAAATTCTATGCTGGTATAAAACATCTTTTCGAAGTTCGGAATGGCAAATATAGAAAGAAATAATTTTTATGAGTAAATTTTAAAAAAAATATTTTTTTATCCGATAGAAAAGATGATGAAATTCATCTCAGTCAACAAGTACATGACAGAAGTCAAAGAAGAACTAGACCCATTCATATATTTGAATGTTTACTTCTACCATTTTGAAAAGTCTACATTTGACAAAGTTTGGAACATCGAACCAGTTAAGTTTGCTATTGTGACTAAAAATGGTGCGAAATTTGAAGACTTAGACATAGAAGGTTTGTTAGCAGTCAAAGAAAATTTTGACAGAAGGTTTCAAACCTTAAAGAAGGCAAAGCATACAAACTTGTTATACCTTATGAACCAAAGAAAGCAGACGACTATGAATATTATGAGTCTAAGATAGTTGAAGTTCAAGGTAAATTGGGTAAAAAGATTTTAGAGTCTAAGCCAGTGTTGCTCCTAAAGAGGAAGAGAACATTGACATTGACCCAGAAATGTTCTAAAAATAAAATTTTATTTTTACATGTCAAATTTCTTTTTCTCTGGTTCAGGTTCTTTCTTCTCTTCTTCTACTTTCTTTTCTTTCTTCTCTCTCTTCTTCTTCTTCTCTGGTGGAGTTATGTCAAATTTCTCAGAACCATATTTATGTAAAAGTTCTTTGTCCTTTAATAGCTCTTCTATTCTGTTTCCTATTTCATCTTCAAGAACAGCGCATGTGCCTTCTTTGCATTCTAAGAACTTTTGTTGGACTTCATCTTTCCAATCGGCGTCATCTCTGTCAACAAGTCTGTCATTGACAAACTTAAAGACTTCTCTGCCTAATGTTTTATGGTTCTTGTCATATTCCCAGAAACAAACTTTAGAACAAATTCACCTTTCTTGTTTACACTATGTAAGATTTTATGGTCGACAGATGTTTTGCTGTCGAAAAGCTTGTCTCGAATATAGATAGCGAAATCGCTAGACATTTTCAAAAAGATAAAAATTTTAATTTTTCTAAAAATATGTTAGAAAAAAAAGTTTGCTGACATTGACAAGAAATTTGAGAATGTTTTTAAACAAGAACAAGAGGAAGTTAGAAAATGCTCAGATAAAACCCATACATGACAAGTTTCATTTGCTCAGAATGGTATAACAGGTCTAATCGCACCACCTGGGTCGGGTAAGACTTTCACTTATCTTAAAATGGCTGCACAACAACAAGAACTAGATGAAAGAACCCATTCTATGAGTTAGTTGTTATTTGTAGTACTTCTGGTCAATTTGACCAAACCGTCAATTCGTTCAAAGATATTATAAGAAGTCTAAGTTAGTATGTATAAAGGATACTGAGTTGTTAGATTGGATAAAGAAGTACCAAAGAAGAGTTTTGAAGTATAATGCTATAAAAGTATATAAATTCTAAGTTTAAAGACCCAAATGAGGAAATGCAGAGAATATTAGAGAAGAAACACTTTCAGAAACAAACAGAAAGAGATAGAATACATTTCGAAGAAATTGCAATCGTACGATTGGAAAACGTACCCTCATAGATGTCTTCTTATCTTAGATGACTTTGCTTCTCATCCTTTGTTAAAGAATAGAGAACAAGACATGTGTCGAATTCTTAAGAAGCTCAGACACTTTAACATCTCAGTTGTCATTTGTGTACAGACAGCAAAGAGTTTAAGTAAGGATGTTAAAAGAATACTTACTGACATTATACTTTTCCCTGGATTGTCCGAAGACGATTTCATGGAACTTATGAAAGAGTCCATGGCAGGTAAGTTTGACAGACATGAACTATGGGAGAAGTACAAAGTCATACAAGACCCTCATACTTCTTTCAGAATTCATATCTACGCAAACAAAGTTCAAATTGTAAAAAGTCAATAAAAATAAATGGTTCATTTACTCTGCTTGTTTGAAGTTGTCAAAATACTCTGTTATTTTTTCCTTCAGTAGCGGCAAATCTTCTTTGAAGGTAAGTATTGTACAACCTTTAATATCATAGTGTGTTTGAGGTAACGTATCTTGAACTATTTGTTTCACATCTTCATTCGGTGTCATTGAAATCGGTAAGTTTTCGCGATAGAACCAATTTCTGTCAGATTTGTAAATCTTAGCAAGGTCGTAAAAGCTTTTGTTGTTTCTTCTGACTAAATGCAACATAACCATATCTCTGTCTTCTTCATTTTCCATCTCTTCAGTATAAATCATATACTTATAGTTCTTTTCCTTTCCTTTTGGTACCGAACGTGGTATTCTTTTCTGAATGTTTTTATCTTTTGCTTCAATGACTTCATCTTTTGCTTGAAGTTTCTTTTCCATCTCTTCACGTTCTTGTCTATGAATTTCATCTAACATCATGAAAATATAACAAGCGTAACGAGGCGAAGCCCACATTGCAACAGCATTTACAAGAAGTCTATGAACATAATATCCTTTCAAACTATTTGGCAAATTTTTACGATTTTCGTACGGAATCTCGTTCCTCGGTTTTCCGAGGAACGCAAACATATGAGGAAATTCTTCTAAAAGTTCTTTTGCCTGCTGGTTTTCAAACCAATGATATGCTTGCTTTGTAGAACGAAGAGCTGTCAAAATACTTTGCATTTGGTACATATCGTCTTTGACCGAACGAATGAGACGTAACTGTTTGTTATATTGTATGTACTCATATTCTTCACTTATGGCTTCATGAACGATAGCAGTTGTTGTGTTCTCTGTTGTTGACATATCTGTCTTTACATACAAAATAAAAAAATAAAAAAAATAAAATTAACTTTATTTTTTCTATCTTGTATAAAAGACCAAAAATAAACGCTTTACATGTATTTTTCAGCAACTTCGTCAAGAAGTCTGTAAATATACCATGCATAACGAGGAGAAGCCCACATTGCTATTGAACTAACTAGGAACTTATGAACATATATACCTTTTAGATACGATGGTAAGTTTTGTCTGTCTTGGTACATCTTTTTAAGTTCTACATGTTCGAACTCACTCAAAAGTTCATGAGTGCTATTTAATTCAAACCAATCTTGTGGTTTCTTAGTATCTGGAGCAAAACATGCTGTCAAAATACTTTGCATTTGGTACATATCGTCTTTGACCGAACGAATGAGACGGAGTTGTTTGTTAAACTGTATGTACTCATATTCTTCATTTATGGCTTCATGAACGATAGCAGTTGTTGTGTTCTCTGATGTTGACATATCTGTCTTTACATACAAAATAAAAAAAATATTTTATAAAAAACTAGCGTTATTTTTTCTGTCTTAAGGAAATTCATGAAATTTGGTCATTTTTTTCAGCAAAAATATATTTTAGGTGAAGAGGTGAGATTTCACCTGTTTTTTCACCTCTTTTTTCACCTCATGAATTTTCATGATTTCATCGTAAATGTTTTGTCAAGACTTCTTCGTATATGTTTTGTCAAGACTTCTTCGTATATGTTTTGTCAAGACTTCTTCGTATATGTTTTGTCAAGACTTTAATCGTCAATGAGTGTAAAACAGACAAAAATATATTTTAGGGTAGAAGGGTATATCTACCCCGTTTTCTACCCTCATTTCTACCCCATATGTCCTTACTGAAAAAGTATGTGTTCCATATGTCATTTTACTCAGAATTTTGTTGCTGAATTCAATAAAAATATATTTTAGGTGAAGAGGTGAGATTTCACCTCTTTTTTCACCTCTTTTTTCACCTGTTATTTTATAAGCGTTTTACATGAATTGTATGATGTATATTTGAAATCCTAAACAATTTCGTAGCTTCTATTTCTTCTGTCAGTACATCGAATGTTTTAACGATACCGAAAGTTTCTTTATACTTCTTCTTGACGTCAGATAGAAGGAAATCGTCAGCTGTTGGATAGTTTTTGTTCAGAAATTCTAACATGTCCATTTTATTTTCTGCTGGTTTCTCTACTTCTTTCTTTAAGTCAGCATAGTCGTTTCGCATACGTTCTATCTCTTTGACGGAGTAGTTATATTTCCTCATTGCTGCTTTACATTTTGAACATTGCGGGTTCATTTTAGCATTGTACATTGAAACCTTACCTGCTAAAACAACTAAGGCGTCAATTGCTCTCTTTAACTCAAAAGTTGCGGGTCTTATTTGTTCATTCCATATCTTACCTCTTCTATCTTTATCTCTTATCTGCCATACACATTTTGCAACTAACGAAACAAAGTTGTCGTAGGTCTTAAACTCCCCAGATTTGTATATGTCAGAGATATTCTTATATACCATATCGCAATCTTTGTCCATGACTTTGTGGTTGCAATGAAATCCAAGAAACTCATAGTTAACCTTTCGTATGAACTTCTTTATTTCTACTGAGTCAGTTGCTTTGACTTCTATTTCATCGAATTCTGGAATAGTAAGCTTTTGTTGTTGGATTTCAGGAAGTTTAGGTAGATGGTCAATAATGTCCTGCATTTCATAAAGATACTGTTCATTTGTTTCATCTTTCGCAGTGCAATCTAAATCTCCTTGGAGAAGTTCTTGCTTTATCTTCTGGATTTCTGTTTCGAAAGTATATGAAGAAGGAATGAAGCTTTTCATCTCTACTAACATTGAAGTTGGGTTCATGACTAAAGAGTTTGGTGCTGTTGTTGCTAACATGTTCTTACAATAAAAATAAAAAATATTTTTTTAAAAAAACTAAAATATATTTTTTATCTTAAGGAAATTCATGAGGTGAAAAAAGAGGTGAAAAAAGAGGTGAAATCTCACCTCTTCACCTAAAATATATTTTTGTCTGATTTACGCTCATTACGATGAAGTTTCGA